CGGAGTTTGGTATTCTAAAAGCACGCTTCCCACATGCGCTCATCCTCATCTTAGGGGATGGCAATGTCCACCTCTCTGGGCTTGTGGGCCATAATGCGGGGTGCAGGTGTTTACACTGTAGACCGACCAAAATGGATCGTGACATTGGTGCGCTTATCCAAGCTGCTGGGTTGGTAGCTTACAACCCTGCCATACCTACACACAGCAGTGGTACAATCATTGACTTGGTGTTGGCTAGCCTTTCTGCACCCATCGAGGTGTCTGTTTGCCAGACGCCAGTGGGATTGTCGGATCATGAGCTGGTCACAGTCACTTGCTCGGTTACATTCAAAGCCACCTACAAGAATTCAATTGGTAGGGTTGAATGGCTCAGAACTTCCGAGTGGACTGAGGCAATAAATGATGCTGAACCAATTTTCCAGCAGTTACTTGATGCTACGCTAAGTGCGTGCGAAGAAGTCTCTACAGGGTGCCTTTCACTTAAAAGGAGGCGAGATGTTCTAGATGCTGCAGCATGGCTGCGTAACGCTGTGATTTGCTTAATAGGACATTCATCAAGTATGGTACGGGCTCGCAAGGGTCCCCGGGGCACGCAGAAACGGTGGCCCACAACTATCCCCACCCCTGGCGACTTTGAGTGCTATGAGGACTATAAGTTAGCTCTCCAAGAATTGCACCATGAAACGAATTTAAATCTGTTTAGAAAATATGTACATTTGAAAAATGAGGATCCGGGACAGGCTGCGCACTTTCTTTCCAGTTGGTTTAAACAAGAAAGCTCCTTCGAAGTTGCCCTTACGCATGAAGATACTCAAGTTTTGATGTCAATTCAGGAGTCCTTGGCTGCAATTGGTGCTAGCCTCACAGAGCGAGCAGACAAGAATCAGCCGGAAGTGAATTCAGCTTACTACCAAATAGTCAGCCTGAGTAACGATATCTATCGGGCTGGCGCCCCTAGGATTGGTATGCCAGGACTGCCTGTCCCCCCGTGGAACACTGCTCACAATGATGCGCTGTATGCCCAACACGAACTGAGGCAGGTCTTGGCCAGTATTAAAAAGAAGAAAGGCTCTATGAATGGACCACTAGCTGCTTTAAAGGCAGAAGCAAGTACGTTCCGGGAATTGACCAGGGCTTTGGTTAACTTGGGGAGGTTGGGGCAAATCACGTCCTCTTTCTGGTGCTCTAGAAAAATCACACCTTTGAGAAAGGCTGGCCCTAGACTGGTTCGAAAAGTCATCAACCTCCGACCTATTAGCCAGGGTACTAACATGGCTAGTGCGCAAGATGGGCTATGGCTCCTGAGGTGTCAAGACTTATTAGAAAGGTTCTCAGGTCCATCGCAAATGGGAGGTAAATGGGATGTGATGGCAGTAGTGGTTGCAGTTATTTTGCATCTTCAACTCAGACAGTTCCAGGGCCTGGATTCTTACGTACTATTTGCAGATCTCAAGCATGCCTATGATAGTGCGTCCAGGGAAGCAATGTTGGTAGCATGCTACTCCGCTGGAATTGTTGAAACAGAATGGATGCTACTCTTTGATTTTTTCCGGATGGATTCAGCGGTAATATCATTGCAAGGAATGATTTCGTCAGCATTGAAATTTGGGGCTGGCATACCACAGGGACGAAAGTTCGGGGTGCATGTCTTCACATCTGTCATGACTTTTTTGAGAGACTTGCTCAATTTGTGTTGTAATCCTGCGAAAACTATTCTTCCAGACTTTGCCTCTGATGCAATTTCCGCCGTATGGGCCAGATTTACACCGCCACCGCAAGTCCATGATCTGACCCCAGGTTGTTGCAACTGGAATTCGCCAGAAGGTATCAGGTTGTTAATGAGTGTAGCGCCGGAACAGGCACGGCGCCAAGCAATTTACACATTGGCTACCATCGCTGACAAAGATGATCGGATTGAGTTGATGGAAGCGTGTGGAAGTGTCCCGCTAGGCGCGTTAATGTTTGTTGATGACATTGTGGCGGTGTTCCCATCCCAAACTGCTGTCAATCAGGCTGTTCACCTAGGTTTACAAAGGTATGAAAATATGTTTCAGGTGGAATTCAACTTTGGGCCAACAAAAACGGCGGTGCTGCCGATGTTTGGAGCAGCAAGTGACCAGATCTCAACAGTGTTGTGCAGTGACTACAAGTTGCTTGGAGTACAGTTCGATGAATTCTTAGATTTCACTAAACGAAGTAGCCACGTCCTCAGGGTAGGAAAAGTGTTGTTTTATGAACTGTTCAATGCTGCCTCTCATGCCCACTTTCCTGCACCTATTGTGGCTGAAGCAATTGTGCAAAGGATAGAACCTGTAATTTTGTTTGCTGCCGAGATCCGGCCTTTGGTGCCATCCTTTTACAAGCAACTCAATTCGCTCCAGGATTTTTGGGCTAAAAAGATTTTGAAGTGTAGGAGCCGTGATTTGCGGGGGCCACTGGCGGTTGCTGTTTGTGGATGGAGATTGAGGTTGGCAACTAAGGCAATTTTACGTGCAGTAATGTTCTTGGCAAAGATTGAACTACTACCCTCCTACCACCCCACACTTCTCATGTTGCGATTTGCCCAGCGCACGGCTGGGCATACTTGGTGGCGAGCGTTGGCGGATATGATGGCAGCCTATCAACCTTTGCCTATTCCGTCCCTAGTGGAATCTGGTATCCTTCCATCTCCTCATGTTTCAGGAGTCATAACTGCACAAAGGAAGCAAATTTTGCAGATGTACAAAACCAAAGTAGTTTTGCCGATACTTCAGGCTCACGACAATGCTGAGTATGATGAAGCTGCAAGCAAGTGGCTGTCTGCTTTTCAGTGTAGCGTCAGGGATTTCTGCCCCAACAGGCTTGTGCAAGGGTGGAATGTTTTAGAAGTTGCATTTGGCCATGAAGAGTGGGCGTTCATTAAGCTGACGGGGCGATGGCCTCTTTGGAACTTTCCTGATCTGGTAGGTACGGAGATCCTGACTAGCTGCCCATTGTGTGCCACGCGCAATGTTTCGGTTACCCATGTTCTCAAAGCTTGTCGGGGTACGTTGCAATTGTTTTTGCGCTCAGGGATTGTGGATTTCACTTCAAGAACTGTACCTACACCCACATTCCTTATGTGCCTATTCCATTCCTCGGCTGGGGTCCAAGTGGACACAGCCCGTATCCGCTATGTGGGCTTGGTGATGCGACGTGTAGCTTTGGCGCTGCGGGAATAAATAATGCGTGGCAACGACCTGCCAATTCCAATTGGAGGTAGCGCGCCACCCATTCCCTCATCCATCTCACCAGGTGCTGGTAGGTGTTTGGGGTTTACACATGAGCAATGAGCAATGAGCAATGATGGTTCACCATGCTTCACCAACATAACTTGGTAACTTTTGAACTTTTAATGATCTGCTACAGATCATGAGCTTTTTGTTTAGGAAGATGTTTGGCAAATTCATTGCCCTTTCCCAGGCAGCCGGTCAGGTGAAGATGGGCAGTTTTTTCGACCCGGCCATCCGGATCCGAGATTTTCGATTTAGGTCACCCATAACTTGGCATAACTTGGCATAACTTGGGAATACACCAAAGTTGGATACGAATCGCACCTACAAACGATAGGTTATGTGGAAATAACTTTCGATATAACTTTCGATATAACTTTCGAAAGGTCACCAAAGTGGAAATGTGTGTGATACGAATTGCACCAAAAAAACGATTGAGATCCAGGATAACAGAAACGACGTGACATTTCCCAGGCTTAAGAATACATGATTCAGATGGCGGCTCAAAAATCAACCCACACATATGATGCCCCTCTGTTGTTTCTTTCCTATAAATCATGTATCTTATTGGTGTCAATTGATCGATGTTTGAGCCGGACATGACCAGCCGTGGATCGCTATGCCGCTGCGCGAGATTCTTTTGTCCCTCTCAAGAACTGAGAGTTGCCGCAAGATGCCGCAAGCGTTGGAACCGCTCACCTGTGCGCGGAAGGACACCATGGCCGAAGACGCTGGTGGATTGGATTTATGGTGTTTTCTCATGGATGTAGTGAGATATCCAATTTCCAATGTGGTATGAATCATTAGGAAGGAGCTATATACATATCGTTCACATCTGGAAAGCCTGGTGCCAAATGTTTTGGGCACTTTCCAAAGTGCCCGGAATCTTGGTCACTGGAAAATGTTCCCTTTCAAAAGTAGGATTTCTACTGGTATTCGTGGCACTTTACGCGTATTTACGGCGTTTTTACACGTTATTTTTGGCACTGTTTGTCGAGCATGTTGCACTAAAAAGATGAAGTGCATTTTTTGGTGTAAAATTGACTTGCAGAGCAGAGCGCACCAAAATGGGCTACCAGGCCAAAGTAATTCGCTGAAACAGTATAGACAACTACGGTTTTCCAGGCATATTGTTCAACCACCTTCCTCTAGCAATGGACAGGAGAAACTGTTCGAAACAACCTGCATATTTCGGGGATCAATATATGATGTGAACCAGTCCTCTCATCATTACTATGATTCTCATCATTATCACGTATTATCACTCTCAATTACTATTGTTACTGTTAGCATTCTCAAATTATCAACCATTCTTCTTCGATGGTTGAAAGATGCTTAGTAAGCCCGAATATATATATATATAATTATAATTTATATAATTTATATAACTAATAATTATATTAATATAAATATATATATATATACGCATTAATATGTGGTTCTTTGAAGTCAATCAATGCGCCCTTGATCAGCAAAATAAGTTGAATCCCCATGACATACTGGAGGGTGCTTCACGTAGGGAGCTAGGGGAGCTAGTTGCGGGGAGTTAGACATAGTTACAGCATGTAAAAAAGCTAATGATTGATGTTGATATTCATGTTTATTGATGCTTTTTGGAGATTACTATGAGTATCTATGAGCCAAAATTGGGCAAGACTTAAGTCCATGGTTAATACTAAAAATAAACCAAGCCAATCTAGGCCACCTGGTCCCCCAGATCTATAACATGTGTCCCATCCCAGACGATCCTTACGCCGTGGTGAAGGACGTGATGCGATCGAAGCCATTGGGTGTGCAGCTGGCGGCGGTGTAGCAGCGGTAGCCCGCGTTCGTCCAGACGCTGATGAATTTGGTGTTGGGGTCCTGCAGGGTGTGAAATGGCAGTGTGTGAAAACCTTGTACCCCTGGTGAACATCAAAATAGCTGGTAAATGGATGTTCATCTCCCTAAAAATGGTATTAATAGGTATTGATCCATACCCAAATTTCTGACCAGTGAGAATTGGAATTTCGGAATAGAACTTGGGAAGATCATGGTATAATACCGTATATTATATGTATGTATCGAAAATATTAGGGTATCCCAAAAATACTGGTTTTTCCATTGGTCACAGGCAATAACTCGGATGGTTTTGGGATACCCTTATTTTCGGAAACCTCCATATATATACCAGTCTATACATATATGTACAGTATATATATATATATGCATACTTCTATTATGTATACATATATATATTGTACAGTATATGGATATCTAAGCATCTATCTAGAAGATTGTGTTTAAACCTATCCAACTATATCCAACTATAGATATATCTAAAAACAATCCGTAAATCACAAGAAACCTGATTAGCGTAATTGTAAAATAACTTAGCTAAACCCGGGACGCCATTTTCAGACACACCCATTTGTGCTTGGGGTTATAATTGGGGTGGCCTGACCCAGTTTGACTGACCATCAATCCTAACTTCAAGGATGAAATCACTATTTTGGCGAGGTCTATCGTTTAGATTAGATTCATTTAGTCCGTTTGCAATATGGAAAACCAACATGTGAGACAGAAACACAAGCATCCCTATGGATCCAGTGTTCGGGGTATGATTTGGGGTGTCTTGTACCTTCTCAGGAGATCTTTGGATCGGGGTGAAAGTGGGTGGATCATGTTCGGTTCCAGTTGTTGTCCACGCTTGTAGTTTTGCACATCGATGTGAAGCTTATGCCATAAGTTTGCGTGGCCAAAATCATCCAAAATCATCCAAAATCATCCAAAATCCACCGAAACTGAGAGGCAAATTCGCGAATCCAACGGTCCTTCTCTTGGCACTTCCGCCACGCAGCCTGGAAATGCTGAAAAAATCACACGACATCTGGACCTGCTGAGTGTTTAAGTGGGGAGTTGCCCATGGCATCAAATTCGTATGGAATCAACAAACAATGCTTTTCTCGATGACCTAGAAGATTCATTGGTATATGATTGGTCAGTGGGGGTTAAATCTCCTGATATCAACAGATATCGAATCACTTTTCTCATTTTCTCGATGACCCAGAAAAATCATATTGGTAGATCTGGTTGGTGGTGCAATAGCCATCTTGAAAAATATGAAAGTCAATGGGAAGGATGACATCCCATATATGAAATGGAAAATAAAAAATGTTCCAAACCACCAACCAGTATATGATTGGTTAGTGGGGGTTGAACTCCCAGATACCAACAGATATCAATGGGATAATTGGCGGGACGATCCTCTCAGTGGATGGCAGGGGGGCCCGTACCTTTTTCAGGGTGCCTTCATCTAATACATGAAAAAAATAGTCACACATAATATGATCATTCAAAACATGTTATATTAGGCTATAACTATACAATACTATACAACTATTATACTTACCCTTTGTGCATAGCAATAGCAATTTAAAATGCCTGAAGAAAATGGAGCTTTAGCTTGGAAAATCATCTACACATGGGGACCGTTCATCTTTTCCGCAAGATGTTCTCAGCTCAGTAGCTGGGATTGTTGGCTGATGTTGGCTGAATGGGGATATAGAATGCTAAAGTCATCCAAAGTCTAGAAATGGAGGGCTATGGAATAACACCCTTTTCAACAAAGAAACAAAGAATCATATGTATCATATGATTCATGAACATTCATGATATTTACAGTAAATGTTGTTTGAAGGTGATGTCTCTCCTCATTGTAGCATGGGCCCTTCTCACCCCGCTGAATTTGTGATCAACTCTAAACTCTATTAGCGGATGTTGAAGTAGTTTCACAACTTTTCTCCACCACATTGATGTTTCCTGCTGAAGTCTCCATCTTCACCATCTAGAAAGTCATGCCAAGCCAGAAAATCTATAGAAACTTTTCCATCTTTGATGTATCAATCACCATTTCTTCATCATTTCAGAAACCTCACAGCAGCACCATCATCCACCCATGTCATCTGCCAATCTTAACGCGCCTTCACCCAGCGCTTATAGGTCCGAGTCGTAAATCCTGGTGGCAAATCCACCAAGGTCTGGTGGTGAAATCCCGAAGAAAATCCTACAGTTTATGGCCCAACTGACAGGTATAAATGGAATTATAACTTCTATAACTCCATTATAAACCCAGTTATAAACCATTAACCCAGTTAAATTCTGTAAATGGAATTATAAGTCCTATAACTAAGGTTATATAAGTTATATACCATTACAAACCCAGTTACACCTGTTAAGGGCCAGAACTGTAGGTCATGTTTAAGTGAATTCCACATATTTTAAGAGCCTCATGGTGGTGAACTTCTCGTTTCTGTGGAAAGTATGTCTCCATCTTTGCTGATTGCAGGAGAAAAAACACATTGGATGTGCCAAGCTCGTCAGTCTGAAAGGAAACCCTTGGATGTAACTGTTTAACTTGGTGCCATTTACAAACTGGGTCTCATTCTTGTCAATTAACCAGATTTGAGTCAAACAGGTAATTACCCTCCAGTATTCTAACCTAGCTATGGAAATGGCCCCCATTTCTAGGTGCTTTACCGTTTACCTATTAAGAATGCTGATTTCCATGGCGATGTTGTAGTTTACCACTTGGGTTTACCAGATCAACGATTTGGCCATGAAATCCACCCAGCCTGATTCACCGTTGACATCTACCGCCTAGTGGTGCAATAACCATCTTGAAAAATATGAGTTCGTCAATGGGAAGGATGACATCCCATATATGAAATGGAAAACAAAATTCATGTTTGAAACCACCAACCAGTCTATAAATCCTGAGGATCCTCCGTTCGAAGAAAAACACGATCACTTTTGCTAATGGTTTACGATCACTATTTCTCTCGATACTAAAGTATTCCCCATGTTTCAATGGTAAAAAAAACTTTGTGTTTCCATCGATTCCCATGATATTCCCAGTAGAAAACCTCCATTTTTTGTTGATGAAATCAGCACCTGTTTGCTGGTAAACCTCCATGTTTTGTGGATAAACTCCTCAATCGTCAGCACAATCCATGTTGATTGCTTTAAACGTCCCAAATTCACCTGGTGAAATGCGTTTTTTTCCTTAGGTTTCCAGCTAATCACTCTTCAAGAAACAACTGTGTTAAACCACTGCTTTTAATTAACCAGATACCAACTGGGATGTTAAAGGTCCATTTAGATCGAAGATTATCCCATATTTTCCCTTAAACAGTTGAGATGTTCCATGCATAGTAACTTACCAGCTGATTGTTTTAAATCTCCCCAGATTCTCCAATTTGTTCATGCTTACTCCACTCATCACCATCATTTTGTAGGTCAAAAGTGGTCAAAAATCCATAGAAAATCCACAGCCAAGGCAGCCAAGGTGCCTTTCTTGCCTTTTCGCTTGGGTCCCAGTTCCCAGGCTCGACTCTTATAGATTTGACCGCCCTGCGACAAAACATGGATCTTCATGATGAGTTTTTACCTGGGAAACAAATGGTGATTTAAGCAGCAGAAATATGGTGATATCACCAGCAAGAACGATGATTTCGCCTACATCAAAGATCATGATTCCACTGTTTCAAGACTGTTGAAGCAGTCTTGACCGAAAAAACAAATCATTGGTAAATCAAAGATGTCCTCTGGGAAAAAAATAGAGGACCGGCGTGGTATATTGTTATACCATTGACATCCATGTACCTATTGCTTTATTCAATGGGGTTCCCATCTATTAATCAAACAACCAGTGGGGGAAGGACATCCATCATCAAAACATAAATTTCTATATCTATATCTGTACTGTATATATGTTTGTGTCTAAAAATAGGCTACCTCTAATCCACTTAATTGATAATCCTCCATATGAAACGGCCATTTTAAGGGCGAATTTCACAGCCATATCGACACTGGTTGTACTTCAGCGTTTCACTATGGGACCAACGCGGCCACGGCAACAGGTGCATCTTTCTGGTCGTATGGATGTGTAGTGTACAAGAATTGACCATGTAAATATTGTATAATTGTATTCACATATGTGTATAAATGTTCTTTTAATAAGTCGAAAAACTACCATGATGTAAGGTATAGTTTATCTCGGTTAATCCCAATTAGCAACTGCGTATGTTGAACAAAGTGAATTAGGAACTGGGATGCTGAATGAAGATACTTATGGTTTTCCCAAGTACATACGAATGATAATCAACTAATTCGAGATCTGCAAGTAGTAAGCACTACTTGTAAACCTTACCAAAAGGATATCTTGGATAAGGCCCAACAAATGTGCCAATATCCTGCTGATATTCTTGGACAACGCTGCCGTCCTTTTTTTCCTGTTGAGGGTGTTTCATGAACCTTAGCAAAGTTGCTTTCATGCTTGTCTCTACTACATTTGCAAGGGTTTTGTCCAACAACTGTTGTTTTCATCCTCATTTTGTGTATCAAAATGACCAAACAAAAGTAGAAACCCCTTCATGCCCTATCTTGCTTGGTAATCCCCACTGGAATGCAGATTAATCCCTCATCTACTTGCTGATCAAGCCCCATTGTTATAGGGAGACCTAAATCTATGGAATCAGTTGCAACCCCCGGTTGCCGATTGAAACCCCATGTTTATAGGTAAAACTGATGATTCACCACTGGATCAAAAGGGGATTCGCACCTAGGAACAACCACATAATCCCATCCACCAATATTAAGCATCGCCCAGATGGCCACAAATATTTGGTTTCATCCCCTAATTACTTTTTACCATGGTTTGGATTGGGAGTGTTTAATATGTGTGTACATATATATATATATATACATATTAATATGTATATATATTATATATATATATATATGATTACAAACCCATTCATATGCCCATGATATCTTTCCGTGAATCACCATCAATCGCCGTGATACAACCATTGTTGAATCCCCCAATTCTTGATATGTACGAAGGGATATTCAACATCAACCGCATTCTATTCATGTATTTCATGTCTATTCTACTATCTACATCTAATCCCATTGTGTTTGTTGATCCCCCAGTCATCACCATTTCTATAGGTGGTATAAACATATATAAACCAGTCCCAAATGGGTAGTTTAGTATTGTTTTAACATGTTTTAACCACATTAAACCATGATATCCCCATCCCATGAACTCACCCATCATGCCGACCTCGCAATGGCCCTTTCCAATGGAATTCAAGTCCACGGATGTGGTGAACGAGGTGATTCCCTTGATGCCGTTGGGCTTGCAGGAGGCGGCCGTATAGCACCTGCCGTTCTAAAGACACATAAAATTGGATGGGTAACGTGGTTTTAGGCATGAGAAATGGGATTTTAACATGATCTCTGTCTGGATATTGAAGATTGTTTTAGGCATCATGTGGTTTTTTTTTGATCATTTTGTTTGCCTGGATGTCAACATGGGGGGGTTTTCTCCATCAACAATTGTATTTTGACATGGTTATGTTCACCATCCAAAATTTGTAAAATGTGTTGTAAATAAAAAAAACTTTCGCGGACCGAACCAAACTTTACCCCAACAGTTCGACAAGGATCTGAGAAATTAGACAGAAATAACAACTTATGGTCACGGTTTGGGTAAACCTAAGCAAAAAGAAAGTTAACATTGGTCAACATTGGGTGTTGACACGTGGATTGCACTAGTGAAAAATAAGGATTTCATTGGCAAAGATGGGAGAGAGCTGGGAGGCCGGGATGACCAATCGACCGGAGCTGCCAGTCAGTGTTGGCCCGTGCCGAATGTTCTTTGTCATCATTTGTCATCCTGTTTTATTAGACAATTCATAGATCATCATAAGTCCTATGTTTCAATGAATACACCATATGTTCAATATATTGTCTAGAATCCCCTAAGAATCGTGTTGCTTCAATCCCTCATTGTCATTCATTATCCAACGTTTTCCCACCGGAGCGGCCTGTAGCCAGCATTTGTCCAGACGCTGATGAATTTGGTCTGAGGATTCTTCAACAAGCACTTGGCCCAGGCATCCTGGATGAGAAGATCCAGGTGCTGGATCCGCGTTTCGAGAACCGGAAGATGTGACGATGTTTAACCAAGGCAAAGATAGGAACTGAATAGGGGTTGATAGCTGATGTGACTGATAGACATGATAGCTGAGTTGAATTGAGTTGGTGTTTACCTCCAATGACTAAGTTGATATCGGCATCGATCTGGTCCGTTCATCGGGTTAAACATAAACAGACTTACAACTGGTGGAGGCACCAGCCATTGTGTCAGTTTAGGGTGATAGAATGGATCAAAAAATGGGATATAGATATGACGCCTCAATGTGAATGGGAAAATGATTCGCTTCACCATCAAATTCCGGGTCCCCAAATGTTCAAACAAACCATATCCAATCATCAAGATGAAGATAAGTTATTGTAAATGGATGCAAATCACGAAAAGTGGATGCAAAATGATGCAAATGGATGTGAATGTTGTGGGAAATGTCTAGTGCCCCTCTATTGATCAGCCAAGCAGCGGCTCACCGGACACCCATGAAGGGCCCATGTTCAAGGAATGTCAACAAATGATGTGTTGGGATAACCCCGTGAAATATCACACTGGATCAATAGATATAATAATATCAGCCCATAGACATACTCATATTAATATGACCTCAATGACATAAATTTGTCTGAGTGATAAGAGTTCACTCACCTGAAAGTAGCTGAAATGTTGGGGAATTCGGCAAACGATTCCCCATATGAGCTGTGTAGTTTTTGTTGTCTGGGCCCTTATACTCCTGCTATACGCCACTGTCTATGCAATGCCTACGCGGCCACGGTGGTAGCCTACGCGGATCATACCTTTGAAGGTGTGCCTACGCAGGGCCAACGCCCGTGTAAAACGATGCCGCAATGTACTTGATTGCCTACGCCCTCACACTCCCGGCTGCTTTTGGACGTCTGGAAACGGAACTTTTGCTTACGCGACCACAGTCCCATCAACATTTTGCTAAGTGGCACCTTGCGGCGCCCTACAGGGGCACCAGCCATCAGGCTCCAAACCGCTCCCAGCACAAGCACCCAGGCTCCAAAGCGCCCATAGACATCTTGCAGCCGCACCAGCACCCAGGTTCCAAAGCGCACACTAAACTTCTGGCGGATAGATCACTGAAGACTCAGCTAGTAACTTTTGACTATGCTGGAGTCAAGCCAAGCGATGTGTTCGACTGTCACTAGCTTGGTGCTTCAACGTGCCGAAGGGCGGTTCTGGGCGGTACAATGTGTCAAATATGGACTGGTTCGCACGTGGGCTGGTGGTAAGACTATAATTCATCCATATCTATCCATATCTATTGTCAGCTTATTTGACTGGAAACACAAAAGTGGGATGGTCCTAATACACTACAGGTTTAGGTTTAGGTCCTATAGATCTGAACATCAAACATATTACATACTACTTAAGGGAGGATTTGGAGTGATCGACTGCAACAAAACAAATAATTGCTTACCTTGGGGGAATCATCTGAAAAAACAAATATGGATTCAGGCGATGTTCTCAAGTCCGGAAGTAACAGGCTTGGAACCTGTCCCCAAACTATACCCGCCCAGAACCCGTCACTGGAATACATTCGATCTCTTCATTTTGTATGGGATCAATATTAGCCGTCCCCAGAAGCAACTTAGGTGATGTCTCAATTCCACTGCTTGAAGGGCTGGTTAAAAAATGGTTGTATTGCTTATAACCTCTCATCATGCATAAATGGTACCCTCTGGATCCCTCTGACAATGAAACTTGGCCATGGATGATCCCTATTGATAGGTGATATTCCTGGGTTGTTCCAATGCCAGCTTCTCTGACCATGCCGGCACCATTTCCCATTTTTATCGTCCCAGCCTTCACCCACCCCTTGTACTCTGCGGTCTTAAATCCTCGTGCGGTGCCAAACATGTTGCTATAGTACGAACACCAGAAGATTCCGCAAGTGATGGATAAACAAGTGGGAAAATTAAACATAGAATAAACAAATGAAGAAACAAATAAACATGTCTTCACCAAACCTTGGCCAATGACATTTTGCTAGTGAAGATCTGTGTTTCTTGGCCAAATTCCCTGTTTGGCTGGTGAACATGGCCAAACCACACCAACAAAGTAAGCCCAAGGAACGACTTCTTGAGCATCATTGTTGGATATCACCCCCTTTGGTTGGCGTGAAGCTTTTTATTTTAGCCACACCACGTTGTCACCAATGAAACCCACATTTCTGCTGCAACTTGAGGCCGTAGCTCAGGACTTTATGGGGCACCCATGGACCGATAAATCCATTGGTCATTTCTCAGGATCTACCCTCTGGTAATGACTGACATAGCTATTGAAAATGGTCATTTATAGAATTTATAGTGACTTTACCCATTAAAAATGGTGATGTTCCATAGTTTTTTGTATGTTTACCAGAGGGTAACATCCTATTTTTTTGGGTGTGAACCCTTTTGAATCAATTCCATTTGATGGTTAATATCCCCATTTCTTGTTGCTGAAAACTCTATGTAAAAATGTTTGGTCAATTCCATGTTTTGCTGAATATCATCTCAAATCCAGCCGAAAAGCAATCAACTAACTTTGAACACCCATGAACATGGGAATCGCTGCACAAAAAAAACACTTCTTTTCAAAGCCTAACCTAACTTACAAGTCCAAGACCATCGCAGTTTCTCTGGTGAAAACTCACAGAAACAACATCAAAAACATGGACAAATTCCACCCCAAAAACAAGAACAAAACAGAAATCCAGAAAATTCTCTGTGTTTCTCCTTTTTCTCCACCTAATTTCCACGTTTTTTCCAGCTTTTCTCCAAGCATCCCTTGGTTCCCCCAGAGCTGGGCGCCAGCTCCCAAGCCGCGCTTTCGTAGATCTGGCCCTCCTCGCAGTGGCCCTGTCCCAGGGCGTCCAAGGCACTTGCGACGCAACGGTGCCCGGTGAGGCAGTTGAAGGTGCCCACGCCCGCGGCACGAAGGACGCACTGGAAATGACCTGCTGGGGCTGGGACTGGGGCTGTTGGTTTTTATAGGTGATCTAAAAATGGATATATGATATAAATGGATATATATATATATATAAATGTGGGTGAGTTTGGATCAGAATTGGTGAGATCTATGGATTTAATCTGTATATATATATATATATGTAGATCTGGGGTATATAATGTTTCTAAAGTTCAGATTTGTTTTGAAGTTCCGGTAAAATGTTTGTATTTCGTGGGGTATCTGGATTTAGGTTTGTTTTCGTTTGAAGCGGGGATACTTTGGAGATATATATATATATATATGACTCTATATGACGATCTTTAAGAGATCATCAGAGGGGATATTAATGAAACAATGGTGATTGATTGAAGATATTCATGACCTCGACCCACCTCAATGGGTATTCTGCGGGGTATATCCAAGTGGGGATGCATGACCTGGGAGTGAGGTCGTAAGTCATATTATGTACGCATGCATTTTGGTGTTCGGGGTTATCCTGGTACTTTTGAAGCACAGCAAAACATAAAGTTGACCATCAACAAAATGGGAATCACGCCCTATGAAACATAATTTTCAAATGGCAGCAATTGGAGATGGTCTTGATTATGGTCAAAAAATAAGGTTTAATTGCTACAGTATGCTACAGTATACCTACAGTGTCTACAGTATTTCGATATCCCTTCGGAAATTTGAGATTCATGTCCCGTGAGATTTTGTTTGAACAGATAACGGATGGTTATTGGTGTCAGGACTCAAGGAGTGATGTAATGGATCCATCACTGTCGTCAATCACTGCCAGATATCGAACAGCCGAGTTTTTCGCAGCATGTGATGAGTTTTTCAGGAGTTCATATTGCCATGGTTGGATTGTCCCTCTTTTTGAAATAATTACTCAACATATCCCCAAGTGGATATTGAAATTATCATGTTTTTGAAATACTGTTGTTATACCTTTCAGTAGCCATTTGCCATAGTTTTCACACACCCAGGAGTTCAGCGGGATTATGCAGATTTCACCCAGATTATGGGATTATGCGGGATTTCAGCAGGTTTTCCAATGGTTTTCCTAGTTGTTGCGATGTTTTTTTGATTGTTTTCCCATGGTTTCCGATGGTTTTCCCCACCTGTCTCGTGCTTCTGGAAGTGCTTCACGCACTCCTCACTGTCCCCACCGAACTTGTCGCAGGTCCAGGGGTCGTTGCTGCTGGCGCTCACTTCATCGGTTCCACTGCAGGCTGGGACCTGGTCCCAGGGAGAAGTGGAATTAAAACATATGGAATGTCCATGAATATCCATTATATGGGATATTATCCATTTATAATATATTACACATTGCATATATATATAATCTTAACTATATGTGAAAAATGATCACAGTTAGGGTTCTTATATATATGTATGTATGTATGTATGTATGTATGTATGTATGTATGTATGTGTGTGTTTGTATGTATGTATGTATGTATGTATGTATGTATGTATGTATGTATGTATGTATGTATGTATGTATGTATGTATGTATGTATGTATGTATGTGTGTATGTATGTATGTATGTATGTATGTATGTATGTATGTATGTATGTATGTATGTATGTATGTATGTATGTATGTATGTATGTATGTATGTATGTATGTATGTATGTATGTATGTATGTATGTATGTATGTATGTATGTATGTATGTATGATGTATGTATGTATGTATGTATGTATGTATGTATGTATGTATGTATGTATGTATGTATGTATGTATGTATGTATGTATGTATGTATGTATGTATGTATGTATGTATGAACATGGGATATCCATTAAATATGAATCCCATATGCTCCATGAAAGGAATAGTTATCTACATTTAGCTTATTTTGGGGTTGTAGCTGTAGGATGTTGTAGGTGAATATTCTATACATGGAGCATCTGGGAATGGGAATTTCAGGATCCTAAAATGGGGGTACTGTAGCATATTGTTGTCCATATTTTGTGAAGAAAACCCTGAAATTTAGCCTTGAAGAATAGGCCTTGAAATTTAGGTTCCTGAAATGGCCATTGATTAAAGTTAAAACACAGTGGTATACATACAGTATCATATCCCACGGGATGGTCTATTTCGCTATACCATTTAATCTATACCATGATCTAGTTCATATATATATATATATCAGTATGTTCATATTACATGAACATTAGATGTTTAAATGCATATTTTGCTATAGTTAAATGTTCTACAGCTTGAATATTGCACAAAAATGTAATGTATAAGAGTTTGAGGGGCTCGCATCCAATGCGGGCTACATATTTTCAGATATACCAAAGACATACTACTTTAAGAATTTGAGGGACCCTGGTGACCCTGGGATGGGATTGCCAAATTCTGAACTATTTATGTCTGAGAAGCTGTGGCCAGGGCAAACATAGGAAAACCATCAAACCAAAACAACGATGAAGGGTAAATTCTGTCACAATAAGGTTTTCAGGCCTGTGTGTGTTTGCGAAACCCGTGTAGTGTGATTGCGATGATGATTGACCCCAGAGGTCGCGTACACACCGGGATTCGCCCTCATAACCTTCGAGTTTGAAGGCCAATACGCTAACCAGTGCGCCCTTGCCTCCGGAGAATTTTGCATTCTTATTCTCTTTGGGCTGGCTGCCCGGGGCTGGGGTTTGGCCTGGGTTGTGGTTGCGCGTAGGGGGCGCGCCAGCCTCCAACCTTCCTGGCATGTTTTGCAACCCGTACGAGGGCCCATCAGTGGCTGTTTAGGGCCTGTTCTTTCTTGTTCTCTTCCGCAGGCATGGGAGTATTTATATAAGACTACTTATAATACATATATATATATATAATTATATATATATATGTGTGTGTGTGATTGTGTGTGTATGTTTATACACAAATAAGAATGCTCTAGGAATTTGAGGGACCCTCGACCTATTATGGTGGAAATTTCCCTGTGTTTGGGGCCCTGTGCCTCAAACTTTCGGATTCTTAACCAACTCTCGGGCTGTAATTTAGTTGTGTTCTTATTATCATATATATATATATAATATACGTACAATTACACACATATGACATCATATAACTAGAACATACCATAAACTAGTACACAGCAAAGAATACAAAACTAAACTAGTACATTTCACTACTTCACTATACCAGAATATGTATATAAAATAATTCTATAAATATGTGATCATCCTCAAGTAGATAAAATATTGACATTTCAAAAGATCTCACTAAAATGGCAATAATTTTGAACATGCTCTATTCTAATCTACTTCAGGACAATTCAATCCACATACATATTATATGTATATATACGTATATATAACATGTATACATAGGATACACATACAGTATATACAAAGGATTTCCAAATATAGGAAGTGGATGTGGTATATGGAATTGGGTATGTATGTACATGATTGTACATGTATGTACCATGTAATCGGGTATATATTGTATTGGGATATATTGGGGATGATTGCAGTAACCCATGATCCTGAGAGGAATGATGGTGGAAAAAGGGAGGATCTTCCTAAAATTTGGTCTTACATTCTCTAATATAAATGCTGAACCAATAAACTGGTGCGTGCTGAAAAAACACCAATCCGGTCATCCAAAAATCCAATCATCCAAGAAACCAATGGTTAAGCAATCAACCAACATTATATTTGCAATGTGGCTTTGTCTGACACTTGGGTACTTCAAAAATTTCACAGTTCATCATTTCATTTCCTGCTGAAATTGCTATGACTTGGTCCTTAGATTCCCCATTTTTCAGACACACCTTCTATTTTTTCAAGTGGACGGAGGATCCCCCAAACCCTCACCGCGCCTGTGTCCTCAAGGCGGAGGCCCCCAAGGCCAGCGCAGCCAGGCAGAACTTCATTGGGAAACGCGTCGGCTTCACGTGTCGTGGACACCGAAACAGACACCGCGTCTGTTCTCCGAGCCAGAGTCCACAGCAGGGCGGTGGGCATGGGCGATTCAATGATGTTCAATGGAGTGGTTTAAGGGATTGTGGGAAAGCATGTGTTTTGCCAAGCAAGTTAGGTCCTACAATTTCCTGCCACTTTTTTCCAGGAATTACCCTCCGGTAATCAACTATGGCTAGCTGGAAAATCCCTAATTTCTATCAGATTTTCAGATTTTCCCATTAAATCCTCCATTTATAGAAGACTTCCCATTGTCATGGTGAATCTTAGGTACCTAGCAAAAAGACTAATGTTTGGCTGGTGAATGTACAGTTTACATCATTTTACCATTGATAGCAAAATATTATTTAAGGTGGACGAGTTCGTATCTAACAAGCCGGACAACCCAGGTGGATATTTATCCCATTTTATCCCATATAATTCATTTATATCCTCCATGTATAGAATACTTAGCAACATTGACCCAACTACCAAGGCACTCGAATTCCGCTGCTTGCATGGAGTAGTAGTCCACCCCATCACAAGGACCTGGACAAGCCCCAAATAATTTGGGTCGATGGAACATCCACCAGTGTCGTTTCTATCATCGATTCCTTTTGGGGCCTTGCTATAGCCACATGTTTTTGTCATGTTTCTGCTAAATGTATCGAAATGTTGCTAAGTATTCTATACATGGAGTATATACATGAATCATATGGGATAAAATGGAATAAACATATCCACCTTTTATTGTCCCTCGAATCTTGTGGCAAACTTGATTTAAGATGCCGCTTTTGAGCTCCAAATCTTTAGAGTTGAGACCCCAACAGCACAGAGAATATAGGGCTTCATACATTTTTTTAAAAGGAGCAAACAAGAAAACAAACCAGAAAATCAAAAACAATAAAACACGAAAACTAAACAAGAAAAACAAACAAAACAAAACACCAACAAAAAAAACTGAGGAAAATCCAGGTTTTTATTTGTGTTTGTTTTGTTTGTTTGTTTTATTTGTTTTTTCCTGGTGATTCTTCCTGTCGGGTTGTTTTTTTGGTGATTCTGTTTTTGTTTTTTTTGTATATCCAACTTTCTCTGTTGAAGCCGGGGTCTCAACTTTAGAGACCATAGCCAAGAACATCTATGGACAGGCCCACCCTTAGTACAAGCTTTCTTGGAAAAAATAACAAATCCCTCCCTACTACAGCTCGAAAAACATCATCATGAAAATCCCTATTCCACAAGCAATGGACATTCACTCCCTCCTGCGTGTCACTGACCCATAAAAATGCACTAGCTCCAGGTGCAAGTGGTAGTATGGTAGTACACATGGGTATTGCGTCAAGTCGCTGGGTACCCAACAAAAATGAATGGTCTTAGGCCTTAGGTCCCAAAAATGACCAGCCAATCAGTGTGCTGAGAGTCAAACATTCTCACCCAGAACGGAGCGTCGCACCGTAGACAATCGGTCCACGCAACAACTTCCCGATTTTTCCGTACCAACGGCTGTGGTTTACAAGCCATGTACCTATCCCACATTTGGTCAATATCAACATTTGATAAAGTTTGATATTTGATATTTTATTATTTGATCAACTTCAAATCTTGACAATTGATAGAGTTGTTTGAAGCTCAATTTCTTGAGGTTTCCATCAACAAAAACTCTGAACATGTCTCCGTTCCGAGCCAAGTGGCAGTGATTTCCGAACCTTGCGGGTGGGTTTTTTCTCGCCCACTTGGGATGGGCTGAACCACTCGGACAGCCCATTTTCAGTAGGGCTACCATGGTTACAACTAGTATACCCTCCGGTAAACTAACACAGCTATGGAAAATCTGCCTTTTAGATTAAGGTAGATCAACTATAATTGGCAATGTTCCATAGCTATCCATAGCTATGTTAGTTTCCCAGTTTACCAGAGAGTAATTGGGGCGAACTAGCGAGGTGCGGCAACTCATCGACCAGTTTAAGGAGGCAGCTACCAGGGCTGAATCACAACTAGCTGGAAGGACTTAAAATCCCCAAACGAACAGTTTGACCCTGAGAATAACCCATGTTCAGCGAAAAGTCCGCTTCTAAATCCCAAAAACATATCTTTGCAATGGTCCTCTCTCGAATTTTTGGATCACATCCTCCAATATCCGAAGGTCATTAAGGAAAAAAACACTTTAGCTAGCGTTTGTGGAGCCCTGTCCTTGTATGGACAAGGGTAGGGGTTGTTCACCACCATCAACCCTGATTATTGATGTTCATTAAGCCCCTATTGTTGGTCAACCGTTTTTTTGGGCTGCCATCCTGCAACATATTCATACATATATATATATATATAATATATATAATATATATATATAATATATATAATATATATAATATATATATATATTATATATATATTATATATATTATATTATATATATATATTATATATTATATATATATATATCCATATCACATTCTATCCTATTGTATCCCCTAAAATGTTTTGATAGTTCCGAATGACAGCTGCTTTATAACCCATACCAACTATAAATCTAATCGGGTTGCGCTGTATAAAAATGCTGAAATCAACCCCACACCCACAAACAAAGGCAAACATACTGTAACTATATCAGAATATTGCATTGACCATGACTATATTGCATTACAAAATGCAAACACATACTGTATATTATATAGCCATCACAATATCCACACTTCCATGTATGCCATGGTCAAAACACGGTACGTATTACATATATGGAGTATGGTCATCCCACCATCATGAATAGGATTCAAAAAATATAATGGGTATGTCAAACCCTATTGAGGGTATTGCCATCTCCGCACTTAAAACTTGAGCCACGTAACTCGATCCTGGCACATGTCATCACATTGCCGTTTTTGAACCCCAAAACTCCAAAACCATATAAACAACGATGGAAAATTATGGAACCATAACTCACCTATACTGTTACTCATGACCTGTAAGCCATATGGAATTGTCTGAGCAGGTACCGGGTACCCCGAATTTGATGATTGATCATTGATCATCATCGTTCCGAACGTAACTAATAGTCATATCACATTACAAGCATTACATATTATATATAGTCATTTTGGCGGGTATAGTTGGGTATACCGCATTTTCATGCATACACAAAAATCAAAGAGAATCATATTGTTGGCTCACATATTTCCATTGGAGTGAGTTTATACGGTTTATAAGCCTACATATAACTGGGGGCCCTGACCTTGTATACGCTTACTATTAATATACTGTACTCATCATATACTCATCCATCATAGAGTCATGAATGAATTTCCCTATGATATGGAACTATGGATGAATATATGAAGATTTTGAAATGCTCATCGAACTTTGATATTGAAGGTTTTCAAACTATAGATACAGTAACTATCTGATGATGAAAATTCTATCATCATCCATATTTCCATATATATATATACTCATCATTGTTTCTATACAATATTCATGGATCTTGGAGTTTTTCCATGGTTTTTCCCCCAGTTTTCGAGCACTAAACTCCGATTGTATCGACCAGGAACTCATGGTTCTCCGCCAGCAGCTTTTCAGCCTCCTCTTCGAAGCCGTTGACGTAGTCTGAGCACAGGAAAAAGGTCGCCGTGGCGCCGTGCTCCTGGCACTCCGGCGGCTTCTCCGGCGGATGAGGAGACCGAGGGAGGAAAAAAAGGATGAAAGTTCTGGAAAAAATGTGGAAAACATGTGGAAAGTATCAGAAATCTTAGGAAAAAAAGGTTAAACAATGTGGATAATGGTGGACATTCACCAGAGAAATGATTGCGAGAACAGAAACAAATTGATATAAGTGGGAAAGTCACAGGAATATAAACACAAATCATGAGTTGGCTGGGAAAAATGTGGACAATAATGAGCAGAAATGTAGAGTTCACCCAGCAAAACATGGAGAATGTCAACCCACAAAAATTGAGGAGTTTGCCAGCACTAGGCATCACTAGGCTAAGTTATAAGGTCGCACAAGAAACGCATAGTTTATCCACGATGTTTTTTTTGTTGGGTGGGGTTCTGCAATTTTTCCCTTACCTAGCTAGATCATGTTAGATCCAACCTGGTCTCAGGATGCATCCGACGTGAGAAGATCCAAGTTACTGGATGTTAATGGATTATCTCAACACACATCAATCGAGTTAGTGGAACTCCATGTATAAACATCACTTCTACATTCTGAAAATTGAGTGACCCTCCGAATGATTCACTTCTATCTTTCCCAGTTTCGACTCTCAAATTTCCCATGGCCCAAGGACTTGGCCCTGGTCGACAACCGCCCCTGTCCTGAAGCATATTCCACACTTCCGGGATCAAGGATCGCTCGGCGCCACTGCGACAAAGACCGTCGTCGATGGTCAGGGCCACGTGTCCTTTTTAGCGAAGCCACGAAGACGGGACCGGATGGGCATGGATTTGGGGTCTGATACGCTGGGATATGCTGGGATATATAAGATATAATATATATATACAGAGATATATAGTGGGAAAATCTCAGAAACACGCGGAATGCTTCGACCATCGGCCACATCTTTTTTGGACCAACCCAAAAGTCTGTGGTCGGTCCTCTGGCACTGAGTTTTGACTCTTACCCCGTTTGGGTATGGAAGTTGAGGACAGCCACATTGGCCCCTTTGGAGCAGCCATGTTTGATCATGTTTGATCCGTATCCAAACAGCAAAACAATACTGGCTTTGCCAGTCTGGCTTTGCCCCGTGCCTTGCGTTTCAGGGCGGTTCGCAAAGTGGAAGACCGTGCTGTTGCCGTACACCAAGCCCTCGGCGCGAGTGGGGAGTGATGGCGAAAGGAAGGATTTAAACATGTTTAACATCAGTATCATAAATGATTTCATGAGCAGACATTATCATTAATGGTGTTTATGAAAACTTAAGAGTATCAACACAAAATGTTGTAGAAAAACCAGGAAAATCGAAACAAACCGAGCGTGTCAGCCATCTGACCTTGGGAGATTCTTCCGGCAAGAGATGGGTGTGGAATCACCTCTCACCCCAGTTTCCAACCAGAGAAAAATGATGTTTTCACAATTTCAAACCGGTGCAGTTCCACTAAGTGGGTTGAACATGATATAATCAGATATAATCAGACATAAGGACATATCATCTGGGGAATCCTAATCCTACCACTGATGTGAAAGGACCCTTGATTTCTGGTTGGGTAATGGAGTTCCAGGCGAATCAAACAATATATGCACATTATATATATATATATATACATTATATACATATTATATATATATGTATATATCATATACATCCCGGCGGATGCGAAACCGCGCGAGCGTTTTGAGGGTTTGCTGAATAGGACCGTCAGGATCACCTGTAATTTTCAATACAAAATGCTGTTCCGAGCTCTTTTGATAACTCAATTTTGGTAAAAGAAAAAATGGCTTCAAAATCTATTGAATTTTGACAAATCCTTGTAAATACCATGTGCAGCCGACGTGGATTCGACGAGTTTTTTTAACACCCATCGTCGGCTCAGCGATCCATCAGTTTGGAAGCTGTCTTCGACAGCAAGTTGCCATTATGGCACACATAACGCCATTGCCAGCAATGCAGGTACAGCATGACATCTTTGTTCTGCCCTGCTTTTGTCTGCAAATTGCTAGGCACATTTTTTTAGCCAAATTCCACAGAGAGTCAATCTTCCCTGTGTGCAGTGCGTAACATCCAGAGCGTGTTGGAAGTCAAGTGGAAAAACAGTGCAGAGCGTAACATCCAGAGCGTGTTAGAAGTCAAGTGGAAACAGTGCAGAGCGTGACATGCAGAGCGTGTTAGAAGTCACATGGAAACAGTGCAGAGCGTGACATGCAGAGCGTGTTAGAAGTCACATGGAAACAGTGCAGAGCGTGGCATGCAGAGCGTGTCAGAAGTGGCTAGGCAAAAGACAGAGCGTAACATCCAGAGCGTGCTACGCAAGTGATGTTAGGCAAGAGCGTGTTCCACGCACTCTGCACATGACGTTAATACCCCACCCCACCCCCCCCACCCCACCCCAACCCCAAGACAAAGAGCAATCACCAAAAAAGTAGCAAAACGCACGTACGGTTTTGAAGCCGTAGGCATATACATTATATATAATACATTGTATTTATATATATATATATATTATACATTATATATATGTATATCATTATATATCATTAAATATATATATATATATCATTATATATCATTATATATCATTGTATATCACTATATATCACTATATATCATTATATATCATTATATACCATTATATATCATTATATATATATATATACATTATATATACACATTATATATACACATTATATTATATATAGAAAAAGAATGTACACATATATACAAAGATGATTATACTATGTGTTATATTACATAGACTACATACTTTCTCTCCACCCGGCCATCTTCCAACCATCCACTTCCAGGCACTGGCCATGTCACCGGCCGCAGATTCAGTGTGGTGGTTAAGCTATGCAGCGGCTTCAGCATGAACGCCGGCCCCGCCAACAGCAGGAGGGGCAGCAGCCGGAGGCGCATGGACGCCCCGAGGTGTGTCCATAGGCTGCGGAAGTGGAAAAAAAAGTTGGGAAATGGTTGGTGGTTGAACCACCACCGCTGAAAAATATGCGAAAGTCATTGGGATCCTCCCATTTCTATGACAACAAGAAGACGTTGGAAACCACCAAGCAGTGTGTCCAACTTTTGGTGCAACATAGGGAAAACCACTCAGGATCTGCAAATGGAGGGGATCCAACAACCAGTCGACAGGCCCCCAGAATCTTTCTAAAGAAACAAATGTCAACAGCAGCTGAGTTTGCTATTGTGATTTGCAAAAAATCTACCATTTGTCCCGAGCACATGGAAAAAACATTGTATATATATATATAAAAGATGTATATAGTAAACCCGTGTAAACCTCAAAAAGATAGAACAGAGTTTACTGGGTGGTATAGATGGTGTCCTCCCCATATTTTCCAGGTTTCCAACTGTTCTATCTTTTTGGGGGTTGCTGTAAATGGTTCATCAACTAGTGAATTTACCACATAATTCAAGTTTCGTGGAGCTTCAATACCCACGTTACCCCATTTCTCAAGTGTTTATCCTTGCTTATCCACTCCGTGACCAAGTCCCTTTCTAGTTCCATCATTTGTAGTTCTCCAAAACCGCGGTATTCCTCACCTGAGCGGACCCAACTTAGTTTAATCAATGTTTAATCCCAATACAACTTTTCTTGGAGGTTTTCGACGCTGCTCATTCGAGATAATGATGATACCTGCAATTTGCCCCAGCCATCCCAAGCACTGCGATGTTTTTCGGGCATCGCCGCCCTTTGAGCGATCTGGGGAGCGATTTTCCACCGAGTCTGAGTCGGTCACCATGTCCTTTTGAAGTGGAAGAACTCACCGTGGGCATGCGCTTGGCATAGCTACTCTTAGATACAGAATTAGATGGTGATTTAACCGATTGAAATCAAAGATTGGGATTCAACCATCAAAAAAGGTGGTTAAAGGAACAACAATGATGGTTCAACCTAGAAGTGGGGGACTTATATAATCCACTGGATACCCTGCAAAATTTCTAGTCGTGTTCAGCTGTGAACGAAATATTGCACCACTTTATAGCCAACATATTAACTCATCCTGTACGAAACTTTCTGTCAGGCTGAATCAAACATACGAATTTCACTGCATTGGTGGCTTGTGGATACCCTGCAAAATACCATCCGTGAACCTAGTTTCTACGCAATTCAACTCCTTGTGTTCTTCTGGCCCCTGATCCCTTTTGGACCCTTAGGAGGTTCACTATGAATCTCTGGAAATGGTCATTCAACATGGCTTGGGCGGAGTTCAACCCAACCAAAACATCTATAATATGGAAAACCCAATGCCATAAACCGATATAAACTTACCATTGAAGATGCTTTATTATTTGGTTTACCACGTCAATTTAACAATATTATGCAAATTGATGTGGCAAACCCAAGCATGATCCACTTTTGGGTGTATATATATATATATATATATATGGTTTCTAGTGTTAGACTTACCACATCAAAGCTGCTACCTTGCAACATGGACTAGAACCACGAATGTCTTGGTGGCACGCCGTAGCTTGCCGCTGGTGCAGCAGCTGCTGGCAGCTCTCCCCGCGAAATGAACTGGGAGAATGAAGCGCAAAAAAAGGGCACGCGTAGCAGCCAGGGTTGGTTAGCAACAAATGGCTGTGGTCATGGCTATGGCTATGGCTATGGCTATGCAAAACAGTGAATGGGAATATATTGCAACTGAAAATCACGTTTTTTAATTGGTGAATAGCTGGATGTTTATTACCATCTTGGACCGACTATATATAATTACTCAAGTCAATATTTTACGATTCCCCATCCACAAATATCTGTTTACCCAGAATGGTTCTGAAAAATGGGGAATACTTGGAGTATCACACCAGGAATCAAAACTAGCCAGTACCCATAAATTTAACATAGCTATCGAAAATGGTATAAACAAGGTGCATATGTGTAGATGATTTTTTGCATACCTATCAAATATCCATATATATATATATATACATAATTTAGTTATTTACCGTAGCTTTGTTAAATTAACAGAGGGTAAGTGGGATCGGTTTCACCAGGGGTTCAGAGATATTCCAGGATGAAGAAGCCCTGACTTTGGGATGATCCGAACCACTGATACACTGTGCAATACCGTGATACATTGCGGTCCTGAAGAGCATTCATGTATATATATATATATGTAATATATATATGTATAAATATGTGTATATATATATATATGTATATACATATTTATACATATATATATATATGTATAAGTATATATGTAATATATATATATACAAATACATATATATATAAATACATGTATATATATATATATATATAATTATAATTACATTTAATTATGTATAATATATATATATATATAATTATATATAGAGATGTATTGTATTGGAATCGATTCCTCCTGGGTTCACATTAGAGACCCGGCTGTAGCGTGGCCTACGCTCTCCATAGCGAAACGGTGGGCGCTCTGCGTTGCAGGCGTTCAAAAAATTGTAGGTGAGCAGGCCAGTTGGGGCCTCGTACCGGGGTGTTTTTCGCCAACTTCGAGGCTATGAATGTGAATGTGATTGAATGTAAAATTGAAGATTTGATGATCCACCAGAAACTGAGCAACATCATTTCACCACCCAAAGATTTTGGGGGTACCCCAAAATGGTCACTTTATTGTAAGGTCACAATCACAGAAGTGTGCATCGTTTGAAGACAGGCTTCAGTCCCCCTACATCTTGAGAGACACCCCGGTCCACCGGGAAAATCCCGTGACTGGTCCGGGAAAAAAAAACAGACGTTAGAGGCTCAGACATAGACGGCAGCCTGCGCAGGACCCATGGTGATACTCATCCCGAGGAGTACTGCTTATCATTTCAAAGATCCCACCCAATCAACGAGGGTGGATCTACTGGCATCAAATGGGAAGACAAAAAATCATAGTGTTCAATTGTTTTCAAACGGTATCCCAATTATCTGCGGATTATACCACATCTGTTTGCTTGTATAGCAAAAAAAAAACTATTTTTTCTTGATTTGGATGGGTACAGTATGGGACAACATTTAAGACCCAAGGGGACAACATGTTTTTTGCTTAAAAATATCATCTGTACGTGATTGATCTCAACATCCAATCGCAAAAAAATCACGGCGCTATCCATGGCCAATCTCAGATACCAATCGCACATGACAATTAGATGTTTTCTTGGTGAGTACATGGCAAAAGATGCAAGTATCAAACATTATCAAACCATATGGGGATGAGTCAAAACCTATGAAATTTCCATATTTGGGAAAGAAACATCCATAAATCCCCGCATTTTTTTGCCATCCAAGATTGATCCTCACCGGTGGCCATTGACCGGCAGCATCTTCACCAGTATTTCAGCAACCGGAAGTGGTCGGTACCTTGTATATTGAGTTCCGGGCTTCACTGGTATACATGTGTATATATAATATGACACTGTGTATATGTGCCTATATACCTATACACTGTATACATGTATACATGTATACATGTATACATGTATACATGTATACATGTATGTATGTATGCATGCATGCATGCATGCATGCATGTATGCATGTATGCATGTGTATATATATATATATATATACGTGTACATATACTAATAGACATAATATATATATATATGCATATGTATATATATATATATATTTGCATATGTATATATATATATATGCATATGTATATATATATATATGCATATGTATATACATACATATATATATATATACATAAAAATATTTATCCTTCGTGGTGTGCATACACACACCCACTGAGGAAACAAACTCCCAGTGGCCTCATCTTAAGATCAGCACATACTCAGGATATGCAGCATTCCGCACATCGGGTGGTAGGAGAAACTCGCAATGGCGATCCCGTTCTCAGAACGGAGCAAGCGGATAGCCAAAGATGGCAGAGTCCCCTTACCCATTGCTGAGTTTGTTTTCAACAGGTGAACAGTGTTGCTGAAGGGGAGTGCTAAAGAAATGGATTCTGGTAAGCTCAAATCCCCCACAGACGATACAAATCCCAGAATATATTGAATAATATTGGATAGTGCAATCCCCGATAATCATCAACCAACAAGGGTTTTGACCACTGTTCAGCTCTTTTAGTTTGCCATAAGTTGCTTACCATGGTCATTACCCCTTCTGTCAGCGAAAAAACACACAAGAGATCGTCGCTGAAATCCATCACAAAAGCAGTCGGCACAAATCCACATACTGCTAAGCCCATTCAGTGTACATATATAATTATATATATATGTATCTATATAATATAAATATAATATATATATATATATATATCCATTATGTATATATATATATATTGTGTATATATGTGATATTAAATGATTATGTATGTAACATCATGTTGATCCATTATGTATAATTATATATCTACAGATCATTATTTAACTGTCTCCCAGATGCTTCCAAATCCCAAGAAGCCCGGCTGACGATTGGGGGATTCGGGACGGGATGAGTATCAAATAGTATCCATTTACATCCGACAATCATATGACATGCGTTAACAATCATTAACAGCATGTATGTGCAGATGCTGATGCTTGCCCCCATCATCCCACTGACTTGGTGCTCTATGCCACTTACAGTGGTAGGTGATAATTTTGCTTAGACCCTCTGGTAATCAAACGTGGCAAGCCGGGAAATGCCTTATAAATGGAGGTGTAAATTGGGAAAGTCATCCATAAATGGGGAATGTTCAATTGCCACATTTGATTTACCGGAGGGTTATCCTAATTTTGCGTCGCTAATCACCCTGCCCATCCCATGCATTGCAAGGGGTCATAACAATCAACCCACACAAAAAAAGGGACTAACATCAGTTTACAGTTTATATCAGTTTAATACGGTAATTAACAACCCATATGGTAACAACCCAACAATCAACCATCTCCAACTAAAAAGGTCAATGGTTCGTAAGAATCATCCCGCGCTCATTGGCATCCCACGGGTGACCCGTGGAGAAACTGGGCTTCCCCCACTGATCAGGATGCTGCTCCATCGCCCCGTGCCCCATTCACGCTGCAGCCGCGGACCCGCATGCTGCCCGCTGTGCACCAGGGACCTTCAACGCTCCAGGCCCAATAGGGGGAAAGATCGACATGGAACCATGGAGTTTTAGCAGTTTTCATGGACTTAACTTTTGACCAACAGGTGCGTTGAAACAACAAACATTGAGATTCTTCCAGCAAATGTGGTTTTTGAATTTTTGAACCATTGAATAAACGAGTTATATTACACGCAAAAATATGGCTACGGGATGGTACAAGTCAAAACCCAGTAGACCAGGTGACATGAAAATAGCTGAAGTTTACCTTGCTGAAGCTGTGGAAACCATGGCCAGTGAAAGTAGATGGTTTGTGAAAGAATGGCAAGCTGTTAGATTGCTGCAAAGGGAACTAATCATACAGATGTTCATTGAAATTGCTATTTCATGGGTCTTCCCCCTGTTCAAACACTCCAAAAACATCAAATTGTTGGTCTATGTATGTCTATATATGCCATTATTATATATCCATTAAATCCTTACTCTATGTTGTTTGTTAATGTTTGTTACATCTCCCAATTGTTGAGCCCGATTCACACCAATGATACTGGCTATCTCATATCCAAACATCATATGGGATCTGGAAATAGGATGTACCTGGTATACCTCCAGTGATAGCCTTTTAAGAGGCAAAATGATGAGAATCCAATGGATTTAAGGGTACACGATTTTCAGATAAACCCATATTGTTGGTGATCCATTGATCCATCCCCATTTCGTTGCGGTTTTCTACTCCACTTGATGCCGATCTGCCCTTCCATACGCACCTTCCAAGCACCACGCGACACACCAAGACCGCCCAAGCCGCGTCCAAGTGCTCCTGCTTTCGAGAATTCCCAGGTATGTTTCGGGGGTAAATTGGGTAGATCAAGGGGTAACATCATAAATTACTCATAGTTCGGATGTAGATATTAGTAATATGGGTAAGGTACCATAAATTATCAATCTACCAATGACCGCCCTTGTCGGGAGCTATTCTGACAAAATAATATGTTTTTTTTGCACAAGTATGATGTTTGATTTTGAACAACAAACAATTCTCAACCATCTCCGATGTTGTCCCAAAGAGTACCCAGCTAAGGTTCTTGTTGGGTTTACTGCAGCACCTGAAGGAGTTATAGATTTGTGTCATGTACACATGTATATCTATGTGTAGATATGTATATATATAGCCTCCGGAAAACACACATGGCAAGTGAACATCCCTCCAATGCATCTTAATCGACAAACCATTTGCAATTCCTTAGTTTTCCGTTGCCACGCCAAATTGCCTATGGTGTCTTATTGTATATATGGGTACATGTACAAAACACATGTATGTATATATATACATATTTATGAATACATGTATGTACATACATATGCACGTACATACATAGATATACATGTGTATATTATATATATATACATACGTATGTATGATCCTGCCATAGATGATGTACAAAATATACACAATGTACATCATATACATAGTACACACACCGCACACAAATGCACATATATATATAATACACTGGTTGGTGGTTTCAACCCCTCTGAAAAAAAAAAAATAGTCAGTTGAGATTATTATTCCCCATATATGGAAAAATAAAAATGTGCCAAACCACCAACTAGTACATATTCCTATATGCATGCAATGTACATCTGTACATTTGTACATTGACATCTATATGTATATGTGCAATGTACATCTGTACATCCCAGTGAGTTCCACTGATGATGCTGTCAGAACAGACCCGTAATCGGAATCACGGCGATGGAAAATGGCCCACAGAAATAGATGATATCAATGATATCCATTTATCCATCATGGATATTATCCTATCAATGGCTATCATCTATAAATGATATGTTTTATTGCCACGTTTTATTGCTGGACTGTACATCGGCACATCGGCAAATTCTGCTGGGTGTCTAGTCCAATGTGTCCCACATCGGGTCCACATCGAGATGTCGAGTCTCCTTGTTGTAACCAGCTTCTACCGCTTGTTCATGAGCCCAGAAGCCTTCCAAGCGCGGCAGATCTGGTGATCAGGTCCTACGACTGTCACTGTCACTGGGGTCTATGGTGCTGGACATGGCCATTGAACCTGGCTCATCCGCAAGTCCGAGTCTAATAAAAATACAGACAATTAAAGACAACACATAACTGGTTGGTGGTATACCTACCCTGAAAAATATGAAAGTCAGTTGGGATTATGACATTCCCAATATATAGGCAAAAACAGATCAACTTGATCCAATAAATTGTTCAATATATTGTTCGGAATACACCAATACACTTTATATATTTTAAAGGCTTAAACAAAATGGTTTTGTCCAAGAACTGGATTTTTCCTGACAAATTTTAGTTGGGAAAATGAGTTTCTCAACAATGGGATTTGTTTTTTTCCCACCATGGCAGCACCCAAAAAGATAGAAACTGGTGTCCGGGATGGTATATGGATGATATTTCCCCATATTTTCCAGGTTTCCAACTGCACACTCGGAATGAAGCTATCACAATCCGATTGTATATAAGTGATGCTTCCCATCGACATCAGGACTCCAGGACATGTTGTCCAGGAAAAAGGAATATCAATCGATGGCATATATATATATAGAGAGATGTGTGTCCTAAAATAGGGCTACCCCCAAATCATCCATTTTGTTCAATCAGATCTTCATAGATCCATGAAATAAAGATTTATACGCCATATATCATGGATTTTCCATCACCATCCATCACCGGCCTCGGTCACAGAATTGAGCACCCCCTCCAAGGCGCCGTAGAAGAACGTGACGTGGGCAGTCTGGAGTGTCAGGCACCTGCGAAAGGTAGTCGAAACCTCACCAGTTGAAAAGGGTGGTAACCTTATCCCATTATTTATAGGGATTTAACCATCCTTTTGGTGGTGCAGGATTTCTAGTGGGATATAATCGAATACAGTGAGAATATATTGGGGTTTAACTGGATTTAACGGAACACAATGGGATATAGTGGACATATTACGAGAGTAGACTGTGATTTAATGATATTTTATGGGGGGATGAAATAGGAACTAACAGGATATACAAAGATCACGCAACTGAAGTCGGGTATAAAATCAACCATTTTAAGCGAATTCATAATTGACATGGTTTCAATTATAAACTCCCATAGTTTAATTGATTGAAAATGTTGATGGGATTTGTCTATATATCTATAGCCAAGAATTTGATCTTGGAGGTCCAAATAATGATATTAATGGCCATGGAGAACATGAGATGTTCAACCATGGAATCTTGTGGTAATTACCGTATCTTCAGCCCCCTCAAGTGAGGATCCTCACAGTAGCTGAGCCAGGTTTCCATCGATCATCGTCCGATTTAGGCTGAAGCCACTGGATCCGTATCAAAACTGCTTGGTGGTTAACCTACCCCTCTGAAAAATATGAAACTCCAGTTGGGATGATGACATTCCCAACTGAATGAAAAAAATGTTCCAAAAACCACCAACCAGAAAATTTAAGGTGATCGATTGTATGTCTGATAAATTGACTCCAAATCTAGAATTTGGTCGCCCTAAATTCACGGTTTTATCATTGTTCCCCATAAAAAATTGGATATACTTCATTTTCACATATGGTAGATATTCCCATCATGTTGCCACTTTATGATCAAAATGACACAATGTATCCCCGTTGTGTACACATATGTATATGTATATATAGATATATTCATTAGCATTTGGCGAGTTAACATCCCATTAAATTCACGGTTTTTCCACCTTGCACTCTGTCTAGTTGGACCAGCACAATAGCTGACAGGCTGATATGGTTGGCCAACTAAGCTCTTGTCTAAGCATGGTCAATTTTCTACATTGAATCGTCGTCGGAGTTCAAGCCTATGAAAAATCCCATGAAATTCCGAATCAATTCCATTCCACTCCATGTTAAACCCGATGAAAAATCCCATAAAAATCAAGTACATTCTATACTACATCATACAATAAATCCTATTTTTTTAATCCCAGATCAAATCCCAGGTTTCATCGCCATTTCCCCATTTTTCCAGCGCACCTGAGCGTCTAATTGCACCTGCTCAGCCACCTCTACAGAAGTGCCGTAGAACAAAATCTGCTCGTTGGCACCTCGATGGAAGTTCAGATGGAGACCGGTTATCTGGTTGGTGGTTTCAACCCCTCTTAAAAAATATTAGTCAGTTAGGATGATTATTCCCAATATATGGAAAAATAAAAAATGTTCGAAACCACCAACCAGGTGTTGAATATAGTCATATAATTGATAGTTATCAATTTTAATAGTTAGCATGTTGTTTCTATTGTATAATATATATGTTCGTAGTCAGCATTCATACTTAGCCATCAATGTTTATTGTTCGCAGTGCGTAGTCAGTGGTTATGGCTAGCATTGACAAGTGCTAATGCTTATTAATGATTATTAATGGTTTTAATGATTAATAGTTGGCTAATAGTTTGTAATGGTTTGGAATAATAATGGTTATCATTAATTATTCATAGTCAGTAGTGGTTAGCAATGGTTATCGTCAATTGTGAGAATATATAAGATTATGGTCAGAAGGGGCTGATCATGGTTAGTCAGTGGTTGCTCATGTTTGATCAATAATTAATAAGTGTTGGTCAGTGCTGAAAAATAATAGTTAGTGTTATAGTAGTAGTTGCGACTAGGATTATTGCTGAAATGATTATTGATAAGTACAGTATCAATGATTATTCCTGAATTGTTAATGTTTATTAGTGATTAACAGTTGGTGAATACTTACTGGTTACTACTGTCATTTATTTGGTGGTTAGTAGTGGTGAACAATAGTTGGTAATAGTTACTAATACTTTGTTAAAATTATGTTAGTCGTGGTTAGCAATGGTTAGTAATGGTTAATAGTAGTATCAATAGTGACTATACATGATTATAATCGTTATTAAGTGTTCGTACCCACATCATGACTTTGTTAGTCAGTGGTGAATAATAAGAAGGTAAAGGTTAATAATAAAAGTGGTGACTAGTACTATTCATAGTTATGAATTCTTATCCATACTTAGTACACACTGTTTTTACTTGATTGCGAACTATTCGGGAACCGGGAGCCGTGGGGTAGTTCATCCAGTTCTAAGTGGGGTGATTTTACCCACTTACTGACTGGAATGAACCAGCAAATAACAATGGTTCGAAATGGTCGATGATTAGCAGTACTATCAATAAATACTTGTTCTTGTTGGTTCTTATTGTTTGTTATTGGTTGTAGTTTGTTAGTGTTGGTTATTGTTGTGAGTATTGGTTCTCAAAGACCATTAACGAATGATTAGTGATATACATATATATATTATATATATATATTGTGTACGATGTGTATAGTATATATATTATATATTATGTGTATATTAGGTACATCCATGTTATATATATATATATAAATATAATTTAGATAAAAATATAAAATATTGCAATGAACCATGATGCTAAATTTATATTAGCGTTGATGCATAATCCCATCAATCAGTTCCCCATGATTCTGGTGCGGATGGGCCAGCGAAATCCTGCACCAGTTGAAAACGGTGGTCTATCCATGTTTATCCCATCATTGATAGGGTTTCAACATGTTTCAACCATCAAAGGTGATGCAGGATTTCTATGGATTTCTTGCATCAATAGTACCTCAGGGTTTTTAAACTGAGAATTATTGAATAAGAGATTGGTGGCTAAGCCATAGTCCCCTGAAGTCCTGAAGTCACTGTAGTCATAGTCGTTTGGGATCATGGATCGAAACCACCGATCATTATCCCAACCAACTCAGAGCTCCGTGGCAAAGAAACATGGTTCCCTATTGTGTCCTCTAAGTTTTTCTCAAAACCACTCCATCGGCGACCCAAACATGCTTAACAACTAGGGTATCAAGCCCCGAGCAGGTCATCGTGGTGATTGCTTCAGCCATCATTTATAGTTTCTCCTCCCCAGCTGGCCACATTTCTTGGTTCCAATGTTTGGTTGTCATATTCCTCGAGTTGGAATTTCTGGTGCCACCCTGGTGAGTCCAATTTTGTTTCTCCTGGATGCAACTGGTTGATAACCCACATCGCCAGTCACCGGCAGTCGAGTTCCTGGGGTTCTGCCAAGTTCTCCCAATATACAACCAATTAAAGATCTGCATACCATTGCATACTATTCCATTGTCTTGTCCTTTTTTCTAAACCTCACTCACGTGGATCACTCATCAGTTGCGTCCCTGAATGCCGCAACATCCATGCGCCTTACAGCCTGCCAACCACCCCAAAAGATTATAGGATATCTCCAAAGAAAACGGGCACATCGTGAACAAAACCATGTAACAAAAACATCACAATTACACAAAAACCCATAGAAAATCTAGAAATCTATGGACATCGATCGATTTTTTCTCCTTTTTGGCCTCCTTTTTTTCGGCCAGGTGACGTGGATCCAACTGGTCCCCCAGATACTCCACCACGCCGCCACCGCCGCCGTCGTCGTCACGGGCGGCCGCGCGGCGGTGCGCCACATAGCTGGACCAGGCGCCAGAACTTTCCAATCGGAAAACCTCGGTGGCGATTCAACCTTAAAGGAAAACCATAGGAAACCCATAGGAAAAGTTGGGGATGACCATGGTTGATGGCTTAAGTTAGATAAAGGATTTTTTTCTGAGATTTGATTGTGATATCACCGGGATAGAATGGAGATATCATGGAGATATTATAGGGATGTTGTATGATATATATTGGCATAGTGGGTATTGAGATAAACATAACAAACATATGGTTTGTGATGTTTTATTTATGAGAAGGGTGGGTATGTTCATTGTGTAAGCGTGATTTCATTGGGATATAGTGATGATGTTGATACAGTGATGTGTTTTTTTTGGTTGTCCTTTTTTGCGGGTGATAAATGATAGGGCATTCAGTATGTGGGGGTATGCAGCAATAGGATATAGCATGGTTACCTAAAATGGGTATGATTATTTTCGTTAGAGTTAGGACATTAAATAGCAGGGTGATGTGGATATTTAACGTTGATACCTATTAACCAGCCAGTTGTTGATTGGTGATTAATTAGTTAACAATTGTGGGAATATAATGGTGATATTGTGGATTTAACGATGATATTATTGTGGGTGATAGTGCGGACATGTTGGAGATAGTTGTCTTTCTTAACAGGAACAAGTAACACTTAGGAGTTCACAACCACAAATGTAGATGATCAACATAGATCATATATATATATATATATGTGGAATATCATATATATATATATGGAATATGCTTACTAAGCCATATGTATATAATTATATATTATACATATATTAAAACTGTATCGTTGTTTTCAATTGTTCTGAGAAATTCAACCTGGTATATTTTGGAACAATGTCCATGTGTTTCTTTGGTATGGTTCAACGCTTTCGTATTGTTCAATCCTGGAAAATAAGATATTGCACATGAGTACTACTGTATATAATCGTTTTTTGCCGGAGTAGTATGATAGCTGCTTGGAACTGGATATTGATGAATTCTATTACTATTAATATATTATATATAATATACACCCTCTTGAACCGGGGTTTTCTTGGTCTTGGGCCAAGATTGATTCACAAATATCTACACTTATCTACAAACAAATGTGGGCTCTATAAGAAACAATTCATGTCACCAAGTAAGTATCCCTCTCATCAGGCCCAGGAACTCAGAAAAAATGATGAAACAAACATCGTGACTGGCATTCGTTTCTGGCATCCAGCTCCAAAGAGTTCCCACCCTCCGAATGTCCTATGAAAATCTGTCACGCAACCCGTTCACATCTGGGAGGAATGTGCCAGGTGCTGTCGTTCAAGACCAGCCGTGCCTCAACCGATCATGGCTGAAAAATGGACAAGAATCCCCAACAAACAAAATATGTCGATAGGTTTATATCAACATTTGACTGGTTAAAAACCGTATAATCAGAAATTGCTATGTAGCTTGGGAACTGAGAACTATGTCAAAGTTGCGGTACGTCTTTTCTGGACTAGTTGGTGTAAATATCTCATGGTCCTGCTCCCAATTTGCAAATTGGGTTGAAAGTGTATACCCGACTGGGGACTGAACATTTGTCAGCTTTATTGGATCCCTTGCTCAAAAACTGCTAGGGTGTTAGGCGTAGGGATGGCGTAGGTTAAAATCCACTAGTTGGAGGTCTAATGGGAATACTCATCGAACTAGATGGGGATTTTCCAGCAAGCCATGGTTGATTTTCGGAGTGTATTGATAGTGAGATATTTAAAAAAATATGTGTTCTAGGTGAGATTGCCTCAACATCGAGTACACAAAAATTCATGTTTTCGCTCATCATTTTCCCACTTAGATGGGCCAAAATTTTCGCCAATCCCATGGCCCATCTAAGCAGGAATAGTAAATTTAGTCAACCATCCCCAATTTCACCTATAGATAAGCATCAAAGTACGGGTTGTTTATTAAGGGTTTATGACATTGTTTTACCAAGTAACATTACAATTAAAATACTAATGGATACGAATGCTTCATCATTTCCTAGCCGCAGCTAGCCATCACAAATCATCACAAATCATCACAACCATCGCAGATGAGATGCAACTTCACCCCCTTCACCATCGATGTTCAGTTCCACCGCTTCATGGAACGTAGGCGCTGCCGTGTGACACCAACGCCTCGGGAAGCCTGGCTGCTGAAATCCACCCCTTAGGCAGTGGTGGTGATGGGCGAAACGCTTCGAACATCACCAACGTCCCAAAAAATCAAATAGCAACTGATCTCGAAATCTCTCCCACCTGGCGTCGCGGGCTTCTTGGGAATCGGAGGAGGCACCGGGACGATCATTAGATTGCCAAAGTCCTCAGCATCCTCAGCAGATAAAAACCATGGAAGACGGGGATTCAAACAGCAGATGCATGGGGCGTTTAAGCGTCAACAGTTGATTTTTACAAACAAAATGAGGATCTGAGATGATCTAACCATCAAACACGGGGATCTATTGACCATACACCAACATACGACCAGCAAAAAACTGGAAATTCACCAGCTCACATAGGTTTACAGCAGGATGTTTAGGATAAGGTCGCCCAAACTGCCTGCCATTTCATTGTCGCTAGAATGACCACACCAATTGGCGGGAGAATTTCCAATCTAAGGAAGAATCATTTGCCTGACATCTTGTACAGGTGGTCTTCAAAAGGATAGAGGTGAACCTTATGAAAATGTGACAAAATTTGATTTGTTACATCTTAATACTTGAATCGTCTAAAACCAACCAAGAAAACAGGGGGTAAACAATTAAACCACCGCGCGCACACCCAGGGCAATGGCGGCGGCCTGTTTTCATCTCGAGCCAAAATAGTTGTGAAACCACCTTATTCGGAGAGGTCTTTACAATGAATAATATGGGCATGATTTTATCATATTTTTAAAGTTTGATTTCCAGCGTTTCTATTGATGGGAGAGTTGCTACAAGGAAGAATCTGTAGGAAAATTCATTGATCTGGAACAGGTGCCCTGTTGCACTGCGGAAAATTGGTATGGGATGAAATGACGCTCCATACTTTTGAGCCATTCCCAAATTGGTCAAAATATATCAAAAAGTGGATGGTTGAATGCAAAAGATAAACCAAAACCATGTGGTGATGTATATATATATATATTCTTGATCCAATATGTAGATGGGTTGAGAACTTTGGGACACAACCCAGTGGCCACTGCGAACTGTATCGTAGTTCTCTATCTCCACAGTGTATATGTTCCAAACATGTTTGGATTCTTGTTGGTTCAACCTCAAGGATGGTACTGGGGTAATCCCTGGCTCCAAACAGCTCCAAAGTATCAGAAAAACGTGGCAATAGCTTCCTCTTATGGATGTTCATCCACCCAAAAATATCGTATAATGGGTTTGACCCATACCAAAAATGAAAATCCGTTGTGTTCCCAGTATGTTCCCATTCTATTCGTATTCCCGAAAAATCTTCTCATAGTTGCTTAACTTTCCAATTTCTGCTTGATGAATACATCATCAAACTCTACCCTCCAGTATTTTAAGACTTAGGATTGTCCATGGCAAGGGTACATTGCATGTGGATTAAGCAGGCCCAAAACGAGAAATTATGTGTTTTTGGTTGGAAAAAGTATCAATATGTTCCCATGATGTTCCAACTTCAAGTTGATACCCTTCCCTGATAGTCTTAACATCGACATGGAAAAGCTTCATTTCGGATATGTAAATCATCCACCCAAAAAAATGCATATGTTTCATCATTTTTTCCGTAGCTATGTTAGGTTACCAAAGGGTAGATACCAATTTCATATACATCACGATACATCCCAATAGATGCACATGTTATCCCCATTTTGTCACCAGAATATCCACATGATCTCCCGTCAACGGCAAAACTCCGCTCCGGTCTCTGCCCCAAAGGCCCTGTGCAGGCCCTTGGGAGCTGTCCTACCAGCGGGAGGTGACTTGTGCTCTCTCATTTTTTTCACGAACCCATGCATGAATGGTGATACCATCCAGTACTCAAACGTGGCTATCTGGAAAATCCATGAAAATCCAGTATACATGAAGGTTCGAATGGGAAAATCATCAATCAATGGGGAAATTGTCCAGCAAGCAATGTTTGATTACTGGAGGGTATTGATACGTAGTGATATATGTATAGTAAATATCTACTACTGTAAAACAAAAAACATGTCTTATATAAGGGTTGTCTCAAAATGGAGTATATTTAGTCCAACTTCCCATGGTTCATCATGGTTCATCATGGGTTCATCATTTCCCATGTTGAGACAAACCCAAATACCTCACAATCTGCAACCTTGGGGAATTCAAAACCAGGGCCCCCTGGTGCGATCGTTGTATTAGGTTAGTCACACCGTACCTGACCTATTCATTTGGGGAGCATGGGATGAGCCAATCTGATGGAAACCATTTTTTGGGGGAGCCGTCAATGGGCTCGGGGAACTAGCAATTTGGGTTTAGGTACAAGTGCTAGTTGCCCAATCATGGGATGAGCCAATTTGATGAGCCATCTGCTAGTTGCAAGTTGTAATATTTTACGGACTCATATATTGGGTAAAAACATGGTAAAACCCTACCCGCTCGGTGCGCCAAATCTTTGCACAAATTGTGCCCCCATGGGTCCTGGATACATCACCAGTTCGGGAATGACTCAAAATCCTGACGCCCACCCAAGTGGATGGTTTGATACTTTCAAAAATTACCCTCTGGTAAACTAACATAACTATGGAAAATCACCATTTTTCATGGGAAAATTCACTACAAATGGTGATTTTCCATAGTTATGTTAAATTTTCAAAAAGTAAGCCAGAATTGCAACGCAACAGCTTCCAGGGGTGGTTTCATTCCGTTTTTGAATGGTTCGCATCCGTGCTGCATCAGTGACCCAGGGAGTAGTGAACAAGCACCACTGATGGGAATGACCAATTCTTACAAAAGGTGGTGTTTCCAAGATAGCGAAGTTGGTTTACATAACTCTAGTTTCACTAGGACTTATGGATACTTATGGTAGATATATCAAACCAAGTTAATGATGTGAATAAGGCTTATTAAATCTTATTAACCAACAAACATAACCGGTCCCTTGGTCCCCCATTTTGAGCCGTCCTTGACTCCCCAGGCTGCACCCGCACAAGGCTTGCACTTCGGCGACAGCAACAGCATCGCCGCAGTCTGAGGCGAATCGAGGAGCCGGATGTTGCCCTGGAATCTGACATGCCAGTTGGTATGTGATTATATAATAGCCATGGTTGGTATTGCCTGGTATCTGTGGCCATATTAAATATCAACTTCACCCTATAGTATTAAAGATGATGAAAGATATGAAAGGTGATGCATGTACATGAAGGGCTTGCCCAATAAACCATTTCCAATAGACTGGGTCACAGTAGATGGACCAAAAACCCCGGTGGCAGTTTGTCCCGTTGAACACCCCTCTCCAAGCCACTGGAGACCAAACATCTCACCCACAGCCAGGTCCCCAGGGTCCCCAGGGTCCCCAGGGTCCCCAGGACCTCTTCAATTCCACTGCAGAAACGCAGGAACCTCAGGTCTTCGCCGGAAAAATCCACCAGTTCGATGAGTTTCCCACAGATTTTGACAGAACTGCCGGAGGTTCACTAGGATTCTGTTGCTGAGACATTTTGAGAGTATGGGTCCAAATTCGCAAGTTGAAGGCTGAATCAAAGGCTCAGCATGGGAGGTCATTAATTTTGAGTTCCTGGTATCAAACTATTTGGGTTACCCTCCAGTAAACGACCCTAACTAGCTGGCGGAATCCTAAGAATTTTTGAAGCTGTTGTTGCTGCCATTTTGTCGGCCCACATTTTAAGGGATGGTTAAACCACATAAAAAAAACGTGGCCAACTGTGCTTCTGTGCTTCTGTGCTTTTGTATATATATATATATATACATTTGTACCCCATTGGCAAGGCCCATCGGTGAATACTTGTTGCTTTATCCAGTTGCAGGTTCCCCACCCCTTAGCCCATCCCTCGTTTGCTCGAGCGACGAACCAAAGCCGTTGTCCTGCGTTTGCAGTGGAACCAGCAGCCGTCCTCATGAAGGAATGCCATCAGACCTCGAGACACCAAGGTGAAACAACAAAACTGAGGGGTGTGTAACCAACATAACTAGAGGATCTATAACCAGTAATTTGGGATGATTCTGGTATTATGAGATATCCAGAGGGTAACCAACAAAAGAGGATTACAACCAACAAGACTAAATTGCTATTCTTCGCGACAAAATGGCGACTTGTTCATGAATCATCAGTGATGGTCGGGTTTGAGATGTTTCCGCGCTGGGGATGGATCAATAGCTGGGAATGCTACTGGGAGGCCTGATGCTCACCTCTTTTGTTTACGTGGAGGGGGACGCTTTTATTATATATATAGGTATATATAAGGTCTATGGAAAGTCTATGAAAGGTCTATGTAAGGTCTATGTAAGGGCTATGTAAGGGAATATTGTAAGGGGATGTACTCCTCAAAATATAGTTTTATGATGTTTTATGTGGTAAAATACCTCCCGTGTAGGTACCTGAATGGCCATTGATTTATTATGGGATATGAACATGAATGGATATAGCCACCTTGGTGTATCATAGGGATGTCATTCTATGAAAAAGAATACATCATGAGTATATGAAAACAAATGAAAGCACTACAGGTGCCCAGGGAAATTCAGCAACAAGTGTGGGTAATGAACAACGAATCGTTTACGGGATGTGACTAAATGGGTACATGTACAAAGCAATGTGGATAGAGTCATATAATCATATACCTACAAGATCCTACAAGTGGGCATATACATCACCAAGCCCCACTTAGTTGTTCATGATCACATTTGGATCATTTGAGTCCTAAAATGCTTTGGGTACCCGCTCCGCATAGCCTTCCGTAAGAAAACAGATTGTCTTTGGGGACTTGCAGGTCGATCATCGACAAATGCATGGAAGCAACATGTTCGGTGGATGGTTGCGATTTTTCCTGAAGACAGTTGGTATAGATAGTTTGTCCCATTATGATATCATGGATACCAATAGTTGCCGATAGTTACAAATAGTTACCAGTTACCAATAGTTACCAATAGTTACCAACAGATACCAAGTACCATGGTAAATCATGGGATATTATAAGTACCAATAGTTCCCAATAGCTACCATCTTTTGTCCCGGTAGATGATTTACAGTCTTTCATAGTTCCCTCCCGGGATCATCGGCCGCTCAGTGGCTTGACTAGAAAGGACCTTTAAATCCAGTGGATGATCATCACTGTCCCTATATTTTAATACTATTTGGGGGTGCATACCCCATTTTCCGACACACCCTCAGAACATCGGCGGTCCAATTAATTGTTTGTGTCCTTGAAAGGTGGTATACCACTAAATGGTGGTCGAAATATCATATGAATGGTATTCGCAATCATAACTCTGTTAAGACCTTAAAGGCAGTTAGATCAAAAACCACATGTTAATGGGACAAATCAGTTCTAAACCATCAAATTTTGGGTAGCCTATTTTCAGATAAATCCACTGATATGCAAATTCCGAAAAACCATGGCCCATTTAGTTCGATGAATTGTCCAATAACAAAGGCGATTTTCCAGCGCAAGCTGTTCAATGACCAGGTGACTGGTGATCATAGATGGATGCAGAAATGTTTGGTATACGCACCCCAAACTTTACTGTATCAATTTTGGGACAAAAGAGGTTCAAACCCAGTGGATTTTGGGGTGTTTCCCATAATTTTCGGTGACAGGACCCATTATCGTTCTCAAGTCTCACTCATCTGCTCAGCCATAGACATCTGTATAGACTATAGTTAAAAAAAGAAAAGATATCGTGCCTATAAGTAGATATGTGTGCAATCAACATGTACCTGATGAATGGGTATACATATATGTATATACATATATATATATACATATACATATATATACATATATATATATATACATATACATATATATATATACATATGTTACATGCAACCAGACACATACTGTGTATATACACATATGTATATATATATATATACATATGCATATTTACCATATAAATGTGTATATATAATGACATAATTTCTCGAATATGCAGCCAGGCACAAACACAGTTGGACTGGCACGAGGCCATGGCCATGGGTAGCAGAATGATGAAGCCCAGGAAAAACAGCAAGAGCCAGGTGCGGAAGTACGGATTGGCTGGCCACTCCAGGCGCAGGCATTCAACCTGGTGCTGTGAACGAGAAACGCCTGGTGGTAGCCTCAAACGTTAAATGTTTGTTGGTTTATATTATGTTATACTAAGATAATTACTACTATATTATTACTAAATTATAATATAAGTTGGTTTATAATCCCCATTAACTATAGATATAACTCCCATAAACCCTAGTTAACCAAGATATTGTGCGTCAACTTAGCTAACTACGGGGCACCACCTTGTAGCGTTGATAATCCAGTAACTCCAATAACTAGGACGGTCCTGGTACATATATCATGCATTTATCTATAATTAATAGGCTTATAAACTAAACTTACAAGTGGGCTGGGCACTACATTGTGATGGCTGGTGATTTAGGTATGTAGGTTGGTTGGTTAGGTGAGATGAGATGAGATTAGGTCGGGTTGGGTTAGGCTAGGTTAGGTATAGGTAATATCCATGCATTGTATGTATATATGATATGGTTATATGTCACAGAACATCTATCATACTGTATAGATATTGATATATAAATGGTTATATTTTCATGATGGTATATCAAAAAAATAATTTTAATATATTAAGCCAGTGTCACTAACATTAATATGGTAATTAATATAGGTATACCATCATTAATATAGATATATTATCATTAACATATACTATATGGTAATTAATGATATCTGATATGGTTCTATTTGGTTATATGTCACATTAATGTTAGCATATCTATATTACTGATCGCCAAGCATTTTCGGCCAAGCCATGGGGATAAGAGACTCCACAACTGGGTTTTTGGGGCAGATTTTTAACGACTGGTACATGGCAGATCTCCAAACACATTTCAGACGTAAGACATGTTAAGACATTTAGAAATTCATACATACATACATGGTTAAATTATATATTTATGTGTGTTTGATTGTGTTTGTACTTAAGAAAATCATGGACATTGGAAGACTCATTTGTTAAGAAGACAGCATTCCATATAGAATTCCTCCAAACCTGGTCATTGAATTCATCTGTTGGGAGATTTGGGTGTACTGTTCAACGCTGATGACTCAAAGACTCAAAGACTCAAAGTACCATTTTTTTGTAGGGCTATCCATGGCTATCCCACATTGAGTAGAGAGTCACTATCCTAACGGTCTTTGCCAACTTTCAGTTCCTGGGATGCCCATCCCATATCTCCATGATACATGGGAAAAACTCAAGACTTCAGCACGTTGAACACATGGCGAGATCGGGGGAACACTTGATAATCATTGTGAACCTTGTTAAAACAAAAAAACTGTCCTTATCCTCTGGCAACTTAACAGAACTATGGAAAATCATTGTTTTTAAGAGGTATATCATCTATATAAATGGGGTCATGGCTTCCATAGCATCGTAACAAATTGCCAGAGGGTATTCCAATTGTCCATTATTTATCCATTCTTGTTGGTTATGTTCCATGCATCAAGAAATCCACCGACACAATGAATTGTACCTTTCGTATCCTTTTGTTGGGAATGATTGTTCACACAGAATTATGTTGGTGACCATCATTTCCCCCCCTTCACAGAAAAAAATCAGACAAAATCCACTAATTCATCCAAATTCCCGGAAAAAAACATATTTCACTGTGGCTGGAACAGGTCTTTGTCAAACCACGACACATGATGCGCAGGGCAGAAGCGAGGCAAAACCTCGTTGAAGATCAACATCACCTGTCCAGGTCAGATCCCATATGGTTATAGGTCAAAAGGTCAAAACTTGGGTACCCCAATGGGATTCCAATAGGTAGATGGTTAATACATGTGAACACTAGATGGTTAATCACAAACTATACTAAACCTGTTTCTAATTTAAATCTGTGGTACCTTCGCAAACAAATCTTGACCCGTCCCCATATGGGGACGCAGCATGATCTCTGGGAGCTCTGAGTACTCCTGGTGCTTGGGATAAAATTGGACCACACCATACATATGTATATATATATATACATATATATATATATATACTATATACAGTCAGTCAGTCAGTCAGTCAGTCAGTCAGGCAGGCAGGCAGGCAGGCAGGCAGTATGTATGTATGTATGTATGTATGTATGTTTGTATGTTTGTATGTATGTATGTAATGTATGTAATGTATGTAATGTATGTAATGTATGTATGTATGTATGTATGTATGTATGTATGTATGTATGTATGTATGTATGTATGTATGTATGTATGTATGTATGTATGTATGTATGTATGTATGTATGTATGTAGTATGTATGTATGTATGTATGTATGTATGTATGTATGTATGTATGTATGTATGTATGTATGTATGTATGTATGTATGTATGTATGTATGTATGTATGTATGTATGTATGTATGTTTTCCTTTATTTATTTATTTATGTATTTATATATTTATATATTTATATATTTATATATTATATGTATGTATGTAAATATATACATATATATATATTATTATATATTATATATTATATATTATATATTATATATTATATTATATATTATATATTATATTATATATATTATATGATGTGCATATATATATATACATAATACGTGTATATAAATATATATTATACAGTATATGATTAGATGGATGATTATATAGATCACCATTGTTATTGGTTAAAGTGCGGTGAAATCCCTATTTTGCTGGGTATAACTCCGGGGCCGGTTACCTCCGGTTCTGACGATGCACAGCCACCATGAGACCAGCAGATGTCTGTGTGGTGGTAGCCCATGTATTTAAGGACATGCGAAGATAATACCCCACGGAACTTGATGATTGAACTCCCATCTTTATGGGTTGAAATATATTGACATCCCGTTTCTATCCGGTTGGTCGTTTCGTCATTGGGAATCATCATCGCAGCTAGGATAGCAAGTAAAGAATAGCACCAAGCAGTTGTATTGATTGTCTCCAATTCTTCAAATGATGGGCGTCATATTCATCCCTTCCCTCTTGATATTAAACACCACCCAGAAACCCTGATTTAGTAGAGATTTTACACATATTCAGCACCATTTAGGGAGTAGTGTTTACTATGAACCGGGGAAGGGATTCAATCCCCCTGTTTGTTGGCTCGGGCAAAAATCATGCAAGGCCAAGCCCCGAAGTGTGACTGGATTGCCCCAATCCATGGGTTCCCAAGAATAATATATGTATAAGCAAAACACCATTGCCATGACAACCATACGGAATTTTTTTTGCTAATTCTTAAGTATCCCTTTACTGATCCCTTTAATTCCCTTTATATATAAACATGTATATTATATATAGAAACATCTATACATATTATATATAAACATATCATCATATATCCAACTGTCTTGCTATGTCTTGCTATAATCCCACGGGCCCCTGGGCGTCCCAACAATGCATGTGCCAGTGCCCAGCAAAGACAGCACGACCAGCACCGAACAAGCGTAGGAAATGGCCGACAAACAGTCTTGATGTCTGTCTTCTGGAGGAAATGGTGTATCTTGCCTTAGATCACCCTGCAATGTCGGACAGGGTCAAATGCCCAAAGGAGCTAGATTGTGGCAACCAAGTACTTATAAGGAAGTCCACGCTTGTATGTGTGTCTGTAGTCTATGCATTGCACCTATTGACCCACTATATTAAATATAGATCTGCATGCATGTATTACTAGAAACGTTTACATAACCTATTTTTAAGTACATCTATACCATTCTATGCCTATTTGTACTGTTTGGTTCTTGTTACGAGTCAGAAGCTTTTGCTCACGACTTCTACTTCCAAACCTGCTGAAGATGGGCACAATCCGAACACCTCAGTCTCTTTTCCTCTGGAAAAGACGTACAAAATGTACAAAACCAGAGATTGTCTGTTCACCACCCAAATAGTCACACCCAAAATCGGTATGGTTCAGAAGTGCTGACCAGTCTAAAACCGGATACTGAACAATCGTCAACATTACGTGGGTCCATACACCATTTTGCCCCATGTTGGAGCCTACCTGGGCAAAGCTTGGGCGACCACCAAACCAAGTGACAACTCATCCAGACTGTAGAAGAGGCGTGGCAACCCCTGCACGCAGGATGGTCTCTGAAATCGGGATCATCCCATTTTTTCACCTTTCCAATGGGAGCCATAGGAGCTACTCCGCTGGATGTATCCAGGATCATTCCTTCAAACATGACTGATCAAAGATAACTGATCCTTGGGTCCTTGGACCTCCGCACATAATTCCCCCACATGTCCACCTGCAGCCGAACACGGCCCGTGTCGCTGGCAGGTTCAGCCTCGGGTGATTTCAGCTCTCCTGGGCTTGGTTGGGTGACCTGGGGCTGGTGAAAATCATCACTATGCGAGGTGGTGCCCCTCAGGTATGTCTGTTATAACTCCGATTCAGTATAGAGTACTATCTCATGATAATTCATGATAATTCATATAATTTTATCATAAATCCTAGTTACAGTATTGGAGTCACGTTTCCTTAGCAAAGTATGATGACCTCGTGAGAATCGAGGTAAGGTTCCCATCCACCCAAATATGGACCTTCCAGCCCGTGAGAATGGCTAGCTTGTTGGTTCAATCCATGTTTTTTCCTTGTTTGCGGCTAGGTCCCCCATTTTTGGTGAAGTCCCAAAATTCGTCTGAAGAATGGACTAGAATCGTGAAGGGAAGTTTTAGCCAACTGGAAAACATCAACTAATTAATTAGTAAAAAATCTGTAAAAAGACTAGAACGCATGTTTCATGCTTCAGTCTCACATCTTTGCTGCCGCCATTTTGCTGGTTGAAATCCCAAGTTTTGGCGCTGAAAATTCATCCGTCCTCTGGTCACCAAGGGAGGGAGCAAGAAAGGCTCTTCGTCCGCCTCAGCAGGTAGAGGATTCACCCTGAAAGATCCAACCATTAAAAAAAGATAAAAAAAGAGTCAAAGATCCAATTTTGGGATTAGACCATGAAAATAATGAAAGAATTGAGATGTAACTGATATAACTTTTGGGCTGTAAACATGGGATCTAGTCACGAAAAATGTTAGGATTTTTAGGATTGAGACAATCAAAAGACTTAAAAAGAGTGAAATCGGGGGCACGAATTGTGCTCAATCATGCTCAACCACAGGAAAATGTGGTCGTATGTTGTTGAGTAATTAGTTATATACTTTGATTGGTGATTGGTTGTTTACGCTTCAACACCGCTGGCAACAAACCCTTATTGATCAATTATCGGGGTCATCCCCAAAAAAGTCAAAAAAACGATGAATGCCCTTAGAAATGCTTCCCTCAGAATTCAACAGCCAGCTTGGTGGCTTCAAGTCAGCAAGTGGATTAAAACCACAGATTTCACAGGATAAGTTTTTGTAGGGGTTCAGTCATAACGGGTCAACGTTCATCCAGGGTGGACAACATGACCCAGCAGCATGAATGGATCGTAGAGCTTTCCCTGCCATGCCATCCCTGCGCACAGCTTGGGAGCAGGTTGGAGACGTCACATGCCATCACCACGCACACCGGACCCACCGTTATTGGGTTTACATGGGTTTACCACATTATATATATAATATATATAATTTTCTGATCATGAATTCGCTAATGTGTATTCCTATTTTTGCTGGTAAAAACCAATCATATCCAAACTTCTGGTAAGAAATGGAACCTTTTCTTACTCCATGGAACTGATAGTTCTTTTGCCAGCTACAAGAAGTTGCCAAGCCATTTACCCAACGTCTGAAAGCTATGGACCCTGCTAAACCTTGCTCTGGTGATCCTGGAAGGGTGGTCCTAGAGTAGTTGGGATAGGGGCAAAGTGGAAGATACATAAAGATACCACATAAGTATTCATGCCCATCCCAAAAAATGTGGAAGATGCTCCCAAAAAATGGGAGTGGGCATAGCCCAATTTTTTCTGCGTTCAAGGAACAAATAACCCTCAGAGCGAGTGGTTCGAGGCCAGTTGTGATCAGTTTTTGATGGTTTTCCTTGCGGCGGGACCCACCTGTTCCAGAATGGGAATACAAATTACCGGAGAAAAACAGGGTGACCTTTGGTTATCCAACTCATGACCTTTGGTTCTTGGGAGCTTGCGCTACCATTCACACATTGCAGGAAGTAATTCTATTTATATAAATCATCAATTCTGAAATTTGGTCTATAAAACCGATTACTGTGTATACTATGGACACCCCATAATAGATACAGGAGTTGGAAACCTGGAAATGGCAGGGTAAATGTAGTGCAAACCTACAAATTCTACACTGACTAACGCGATAATAATGATAATAATGATAATAATGATAATAATAGTAATAATAGCAATAATAATAATGATTAATATATATATATACATATACACATATGTGTATATATATATATATATATAATGTGTATTTATGCAACATTACACAGAAAAGAGGAAGGAAAATAGGTAACGATTGTGTGTATGTCCAAATGAGTGCACCCAAGAATGAGACTGAGGTATCTTCAAAACCTAAAAAACAAGAAAATGATTATTTCTTGTTTTTCTTCTTCTTCTTCTTGTTGTTTTGGCTGAGTAGATGAACCAAGGTCAACTTCCGGGTCTATCACCAGTCGATTATCCGGGCCTGCAGATTACCGTCACAGGCCGAAGCCCATGGCGGACAGCGCAGTGTTGAAGCTCTCACTTCGTTAGCTGGATGTCTACCCCTCCAACCTTCAGTTGGTGGAAACACAAGTCGTGGGCTATGGATGGCTACGGTGAAACACACCGGGCAATCACGTCGTCCGGAGGAATTGGAAATAATTGGAATATATAGATACATATATATATATATATATAGAGATACATATATATATATATAGATACATATATATATATCCCTTGTGTGCGTGACTTAGTCATAAGATCCTTTGAACCTCGTGGGTTAACCACCTGGATCTGGTCGCCTCGACATGCGAGTCAAATTGATCAGGCCATGGAGTCATTTTTTTTCAGTTGCGAAGCTGGGCTCGCTCTTCGAGCCACTCCGTTGCTGCGTGTAGGCTTTTCTTTCCATATGGCAGTGTGTCAAAACCTTGTACCCCTAGTGAACCCCAAAATAGCTGGTAAATGGATGTTCATCCCACGAAAAATGTATCTATAGGTATTGACCCATACCCATATCAAATCACGTCAAACAGTGGTGAATTTTGGTGGTTTCAACATGTGTCAAATGATTAATTCAAGGTTAAGCCAATGTTTATATAGTGAAGTGTGGAAGTTGAGATGTGGCTCTCAACATGATCCGAGTGCCTAGCTTTACCATCCAACAGACAATGAATTTCGAGGTCTGTAGCGGGGAATGATCCGAAGGACACAGGAACTCCACAGAATACATGGCTATCCGATAGCATACTCCATCAAATGTTTACTCAGTATATAGATGTATATATAGACGCACATTTTTGGTTTATACATAAACATAGCGAAAGATAAACCTATCCAAACCCTGGAGGGTTTCCAGTGTCGATGTTTTTCTGCTGACAGCATTTCCTGGTAGAACATCCAGTTGGCAAAGAGTTTTTCACTTGGTAAGCAGCCATCTCCAAACGCCAATGAAAAAAATATATCCGCTCTTAGTTGGATGTGCTATAAATGATGTTAATTGATGTCCTTCAATGATAACAAAAAAAAATGTGAAAATCACCGAGAAAAGCCAGCCAATCACCAGTCAGTGTATACCCAGTCGTGACACGACCCACCACCCATCCGCGACGTCACCCTTTCCCCCAGACTCTTCGGCATGTCGATCCATGCGTCCCCACCCCGGTGAAACCGATCGCCAAGGTCATCGATCGACGGGTCTCCAGAAAGATTCAGAAAGATTAGAAAAGTCATTCCCTCCAGTCATTCTCCTTTGATCTGGGTAAATGATCATGTTTCACTAACCTGAAATGTTGGGCCAAGGGGATGATTTCCCTTACCATTATTCCTGATGCATGAAATGATGGTCAAATCTCGAAGTATCGAGAGCTCGTTGATGATCGACAGTCATCCACGACCGGGGATTCTATCCTTAAGGGTATATATGAGTATATAAACCACGATTTATGGTTACTCAATGGATTGGTTTAAGGGAAAATCATGAAAATCTACAGCTGTTACAGGAAACCATAGTTTTTTTCCCCATGAAAAATGGGGATTTCCTGCAATTTTTCGCCCATGGAATGGCAGTTAATATATCCCTGATCATGGCACCTGAACAATTCTCCTCTTCTACTTGGTACCTATTGCTGATTGATATTTTTTCTACCCTACGGCAATCAAACGTGGCTAGGAAGTCTCTGAACTGAATGTTTTAATATATGTTTTAATTGAAAATTCTCCAGCAATCGTGGCTAGGTCTCTGAACTGAATGTTACAATGTTTTAATTGGAAAGTCATCTATAAATAGTGGATTAGCCATACCCTCTGGTAAACTAACATAACTATGGAAAATCACCATTTTTTATGGGAAAACTCACTATTTCTATGACCATTTTCAATAGCTTTTTGTATGTTTACCGGAGGGTACCATGGACCGATGTACCGGTTGGATCCACCCTGGCCATGTGGCCATGCTTCGCCCGAAGTGTTCACCTCATCTGGTCGCTTTCCTCTTTCTGAAGAGCTCCTGAATCGACCCGGAACTGACCACAAGGAACAATGATAGGTATCACCAACATAAATGATATATATATATATATACATGTGTGTCTTATGTTCATATATATATAATGTAACCATTCCAAAAGGGTGTCAACTCAATGAAAAGCAGTATGGAACCACTTGCGTATATAACTCACATCAGCAACAACCATTCACAGAATACAGAAGGTGCATCGAACTATGATGGGCATCACAAAAAAGCCAATCATACCTATACAGTCTATACACAATTACACTGCTCCGAACACCTTCCAGCTGACGAGTCAAGGCTTTCAATGGTGGAAAATATTCCCAAATAACGGCCATCATTGGCAAATCAGGGGAAATCATGTTTTTCCGGCATAATCATTATCCCTTTCCGTGGTGCTACCCTACTCTGTTAAGCAAACATTGCTGGTTGGAGAATCCGCACGTTCCGCTGGGAAAACCCTTCACAAATTAGAGGAATTTTGATTGTTGGTTTAGAGTGCTAGATGGCACTTCCCCAAGTCAATGCAATTCCTGGTGTCATCCCATTTATGACCCATACTCACACGTGGCACATATAAACTCATGGTGATCAAACAACTTATAGATCGATAATTGGCTTATACAAATGGAGAGCAACCAACTTATATCTGGAACTGCCTTCTGGCAACCACTTATTTATTACACAAAAATACACAAAATATCCGTCAATCGGCTATCATCCTAGCTGCGGATTATGTTGTTCTCAAAAGTGAAACCATCAACTAATATCAACTAATCATCAACCACTTCTCTACTTGGAGGTTCTTCTACTTAGCAACTGGTTCATAAGCCTGATTCGTCAGTCCCTTCCACGGTGATCCCATGTACAGAGGGATTCCAACAGCACTTGACAATCATGATTGTGGTTCATATCCCCATTTCTATGTTGATTATATACCAATGTCTACCATGTATATACTAAGTTGTCCCATATGCTGGTTGGTTATATAGTTATACACCAATGTTCCATAGTTTTACAGATCGAAACAGTTGTTTCACTTGGAGATGAGGAAGAAAACATCATTTTTCACTATTCTCGAGGAAAATCTTGGGGGTGCAGTTCCACTTAAATAAGTGGCTTATATAGCCATATGTTGTAGGGACCATATCCCAACTTATGGAGGTCAAAATCCCACAGCTGTACCCACTTAATCCCATTTAGAGTCATCAACAACAATTATTTGCCATGAACAACATTGAACAACCATTACTAACCCTTATTAATTGTATATATATGTATATATGGTGTATATATATAGATATATAGATAGATACGGTATATATCTAAAATAATTTTGTATAATACCATCATTGACCTCCCTGGGCTCCCAATTTCGCCGCCTTCAGGGCGGCTGGTCCATCCTTGGCGCAGCTTACCAGTTCCTGCGCCAGTGAAATGGCCATGTTGGTTTCGCCACACAAAATGTTGGTCAGTTGAGGTTACTATTCCCAAAAAAAATGGAAAAATAAAATTCATGTTCCAAACCACCAAAAAATGATAAACTGGGGGCAAGACTCTAATAACTTTACAAAAAATATACCATAAATCCAAGAGTTATCAAAGTTATAAACCCACTATAGTTCAATATAAAACTCCCATACATAGCCTACTGGAGTTATGTTTACCAGCTTAGCGATGAATCGTTGGGTTCATCAGGGTTCCCCCTGTTTTTCATGCGGGGTTGAATCAGAATCTAAATCCAGCATCCTGACATGGGTATATGGTGTGAACTCAATCTATAGAACTGTTTCAAGCGGGGTAACAAATGCAGGAAA